CTATTTTTATTTTTTTAAAGATTTATTTGACACAGAGAGAGCGACAGTGAGAGAGGGAACACAAACAGGGGGAGTGGGAGAGGGAGAAGCAGGCCTCCCGTGGAGCAGGGAGCCCGATGCGGGGCTCAATCCCAGGACCCTGGGATCATGACCTGGGGCGAAGGCAGACGCTCAACAACTGAGCCACCCAGGCGCCCCTCTTTACACTAATTTAAAAAGTGAGACTGAATACCCTGCTTAACTTCTTCAAGACCTCAGAAGTATAATGAAAACATCCCTTTGCTTTTTTCTCTAAGCTGTACCCTCCTCCAAATGTAATCAGCACTCTAGGTATTTGGAAGCACTAGAACTATTTGAGAGGACCAGAGAATACACAGTGCCAGTGGGACCAGAACTCTTGTTCAAGTGCAAGGAATCCCATGGACAAGGAATGGAGTAAGGGGATGCTATTGGTTATTAGCACTACGTCAGGCATGGATTTTACCTGGCATGTTTCTCTGTACTCTCAGCCATAGCCAGTGCCCGTCCCAGGGCTGCTTTTACTTCATTCACAAGGGCCACTTGGGCATCTGTGCCACTCCCTGCAGCAGCCAGGCTTGCGAGGAATAGGCGGGCCAGGGCAGGTGTGTCCTTGTCTTCTGCATTCTGGGTATGTGGGAGGAGGTGGTCCAGAACAAAAGCTAGCACACTGCAGTCCTGAAAAGTCATTAATCATGACATTTACTCACAAGCATTATTATGCCATATTGTCTGCATATCAACAAGGTACAAATACACAAAGTTGATCCTTGAAGTCATCCAGTCAGTGATTATCAGGTCTACTTTATAGATGAGAAGACCAAGGGTTGAAGGTACAAGCTAAGTGAGTAGCAAATCCAGATTTTATGCTTTTAAATCCCATTCATTTCTCACTACACAGTTTATGCACCTTTATTTACATGTCACTTGGTATTTCTCAAAACATTTATATGTGTGATATTTGATGGAACTGTTCACAGTAAACCTATAGAACAGTTAAGCCAAGTTCAATATTTTCCCCATCTGACAGATGGGTAATCTGAGGCCCAAAGAAACATGGCCTGCACAAAAAACTTAGCCAATGGCAAGGATTCAAATCTTGATTCATAATTGAGTGCTGTAATTCCTTCAGTATTCAATTAAATTGTAATATTTACCGATACCTACAATATGCTAAGGACTCTGGACTAAAAATTGGCAGGAGTTGAAAGAGAAACAGCACACAGATATGGATATGCAAACATATTTAATGCACAGTTATACAAAATAGCAAAAAAGGCCCAACAAGGGAAGGAAATTAAGTGAGACTTGTTCCTTCTCTCTAACAACGATTTCTGCCCTGGTAATTCCTTATATTAGAAAGGAACTTAGTTCTGTTGTCATTCAAGCAGATTTTAGAATTAGAAAGAGATGATGGCTGCACAACAATGAATGTACCCAATGCAACTCAACTATACACTTTAAAATGCTTAATTTTATGTAAATTTTGCCTCAATAACAAAAAAGCACTGAAGAATTCTAAAGTCTGGATAATTAGATAAGGTGACCTGGTTAAGATGGAGCTTATTAGAAATAAAAATTCCCCAGTAATGAATAAAATATAAAATTGTATAAATATGTTATAGGACATTATTAGTAAAAACTGGAAAAAAAGCTTTGCAATTTGGGAAAGCAGTATGATGTAGTAAAGAGACTTGGATTTGTAATTAGAGACCTGGGTTCCAATTCTAATCCTGCTCCTCTGCAGCTGGCTTTGAGCAAGCTAATCTTTCTGAGCCTTCTCTACTTCTCCGTTAAGGGTAGCAATACCAATAACCTTCCAGTGCTGAGGTAAGGATCATCAATTGCATTTGTAAAGCACTGGTGGAGTACCCAGTACCACAAAGTCACATGACACATATTAAACACACACTTAATAAATTTGCGATTAAAAGCTTTGAAATAAAATGCCTAATGTATATTTAATACACATAATTCCACAAAAGACTTATATCCAGAATATGTAAATAATTCAATAGAAAACAAGAATACAAGACTTGGACTCGTCACAGGAGAATATCCAAATGGCCAATAAAGACAGGGATATATTAACCACAATGCAATACCACTACAAATCCATTAGATCAGCTAAAATGAAAAATGAGAAAAATACCAAGTGTTAGCAAGGAGGTGAAACAACCTGAACTCCCATATGCTGTGCTTGGTGATAATATAAATTGACACAACCACTCTGGAAGACTTTTGGCGCCATTTGCTAAAGCTGAAGACACTAGCAATTCTATTCCTAGGCATATACCACCTAACAGAAACATAACAGTTGATCCTTGAACAACACGGGTTTGAACTGTGTGGGCCCACTTATACGCGGATTTTTTTTGATAAAGTACCATACTATAAATAGATTTTCTCCTTATGATTTTCTTAATCACATTTTCTTTTCTCTAATACATATAACCATACAAAGTATGTGTTAATTGACTGTTTAGGATATTGGTAAGGCTTCTGGTCAACAGGAAGCTACCAGTGAAGTTTTTGGGTAGTCAAAAGTTATATGCAGATTTTCAATTGCATACATGGAGGGGGGAAGGGGGTGGGGTGTCGGCAACCTTAACACCCCGTGTTGTTCAAGGGTCAACTGTATACGCTCACCAAGACATGTGTAAGAATGGACTGTAGCAACACTACTTTAATACCTGTAAATGGAAAACTACCCAATTATCTATCAGCACTAGCATGGATAAGACTGTGTTACATTCACACAGTGGAACTCTATACAGCAAATAAAACTACAGCCGCACAGAAAAATGAATCTTACAAACATCTTAAACAAAAGAATCCAGACACAAAGGAGTATGTACTATAAGATTCCATTTATATAGAGTGCAAAACTAATCTATGGCAATAGAACTCAAGATAATGGTGACCTTATGGAAGCTTAAAGGGGAGGGGAAGATGTACAAAGGCATGAAGGGGTAAGCTTTTATGGTATCTGTAACATTTTAATTTGGGTAATGGTCACCCAAGAAAAACTGATGAATTATTCAGGAATTGTGTATTTTTGTATGTATTTTAAAAACTTGGATTAAAGTCTAAATAGCTTAAAAATGGCAGCTGCTTTCTTATTCTTTGCCTGCAACATTATTGTCCCCACTCTCAGACCCTTTACTGCTTACTAACCATAAAATTACAATGTGACCCCCCCCCAAAACAAGGTCCACTTTATGAAAAACAAACAAAACAAAACAAAACCTCCCTGGGCACCCCTCTTACATATATAGGAACATGATCCAGTTTCTTAAAGTGTCCTCTCACTTGAAAAATCTAACTTAAAGATAATTCCCTATCAGGACATATAAAATATGACTTCATTCTTTCTCATAGCTCTGATAGACATTTAGGCTTTCCTTATATTCCACATTACAACTACTACTAACCACATCAGTTGTCTCTGCACGGGTGTGAGTATACTGGAAGATAAACACCCATATTCTTGTGTATTTGGCTTATTCTACTGTCCCCTAGACACCCTTATGCAGACAAACCACAGATACTTTTCAAATTCTACCTTCACTCTTCAAACCATTTCTTCTTCTAACATAAAAGGAATAGAAAACCCACACAACAACGAGTCCTTGATTTTGTCTTCGTCTTCCAATTCTTGTCTATTTCTACCTTTAAAACATCTCCTCAACTCACCCATTTTTTCCTGCAACTTCACCAAGATCCTGTATTACCTAGATTGCTATCTAGATCAGATTCTTAATTGGTTTGACTCCAAACCTTGCCTTTTGCAGTCGCCACACTGCAGACCAAGTGGTTTTCTACGAAACAAATAACAAATGGCACCAACTCACTCCCCGTAATGAGCCTGATAGCACATCACTGGAAAACGCCTAGCTTCTTCAATGTTATTGCAAGAGGCCTCTGCCTTGCAACACTGGGCTAGCATGCATAGGTTCCTAGCAAAGTGTCTGACACATTTGTATCCAAATGATGACAGTATAAAATCTTAGGCAGATTGGAAATATTACCTCTTTGATCAGCTCAGACTGGCCCACAGTGTAGCTGTAGTTGGCAATCAGGGTAGCAATACCAACATAGGACCTCACCAACTCTGCCAGAAGACGAAGAATAGTGGAGGTGGGCATTAAAGGTTTGCTGCCCTTGCCTTTCTGCTTGCCTTCCTCAGAGGCCCGGTCCCCTTCTTTCTCTTTCTTCCCATCCCGAGACTCCTCTGGAGTTGATGCTGTTGAGAAAGAGCCAAACTCTGGTTTAATTTCATACTGAAATATTGGCAAACATCAAGCCTCATGTGCAAAGAGAATATTACTTCTCCACTTTAGGACACTGGTACAAACTGAATGTCCTCATCACAAGGCAGTGGAAGGACAGATAGCTAGGATGACAGGTCTCAGACATAATACGTAGATATAGTACAGTAGGGAGGCTATGTTCACGTATCTTCTGTCACTCCCCTTCTTTTACACATAATTTTATGCTCCAGAAATACTGTACTAATAGCTCTCCCAAAGATGCCTTATGCACTCTTTTACCTTTTCCTTCCCACATGTCTCCCTGGCACATATTTACTTATCTAGCTTAGCTCAAAAGCTGATCTCCTCTATGAATGCTTTCCTGTCTCATCCAGGAATACTGAGATGCTATTATATCACGTGCCCTCTATACTTTATCCCAGCATGCCTCCATTCCAGCAGTTGTATCAAGTACAATTGTCTCCTTGCTTAGATCTCAAAGATCTTCCCTATCCAAGAAGCAGCAGCTCTTGGAAGCTTCCACATGACATTTCTCTAATTGTTGGCTAAGCAGCCAATGGGCTCTGATGACACTGCTAGAAGGCAAGAATCTACCACACAAACCTTAGAGCTAGAATTGTGTCACTGGCACCAAAGCTCTATAAACCAGCATGAAAGCCAACAAAATATATGGGGTGGTTTAAAGAGTAGATCTGAAGGATCTTACCATAGAAACCATTACTTGGTTAAATCACAGTTTTATTAATTTTAGCATATAGAAATCCTTTATTTACAGAACACTGAGCTCACTCTTGAGAAAAGTTCACTTGGACAAGTAAATGCGAAAATTATGCCTACATTCCCATACCCCCTTGCCCAGGATACCCAGTTTCTTTGTCCTCTCGAGAAATAAGAATGAGAGAAAGTAAACCATTACCTTCTCCTTGGGATGTCCCAGATGTGGAAGTCTCAGTGGAGGCACCATCTGCAGCAAAGACCTGACTCTATGGAAGAAGAATACTCCTGAGCCATTATTAATTTCAAAGACAGTTGTCCCTAAATGGTAGGATCCCTTCCCAGGGTACTCATTGTGAATGCTACAGATTCTCTTTGGCTGATCTTTTAATCACCTTTACCTGTTATATACTATAATCTGTGGGAAGCCATCATTATAAACAGTGACTGGGAGAATGGGGAGCAGGGGCAGAGGAAAATGAGAATGAAAAATGAATTTAAGGAAATGTTTCCAATCCAAACAGAGAAAAATCCCAGGGACACCTTAAATTTATCTTCATTTACAGGCCACAGATAATTTACAGGTATATCAAAATTAATACCTTTGAAATTTCTGTAGCATAACCCTAAATACGGAGAGAACATATAGGTATCGGAAAGGGAAAAGGAAACAGGAGGTTGGAATTGACTTACATTAATGGAAAAACCTGACTGTGTATCAAAGTCACTGCTCTGACGAGTAAGTGACCGGTACTGCTGGTATACATCATCCCCCATGTCTTGTAGGAGTTGGCCAACCTCTTGGGTCATACCCCCAGGTTTAGGGTCAGATTTCTCTGCTAGAAAAACAAACAAACAAAAACAAAACTCATTTGTAACTGTGCAATGTTAATGCCTATTTGGCAGCTTGGTCAATTTCACTCCAACTTACTATGACTATTTATATAGTGATATTGCCAGGCTTTCACTTAAGAGGAGAAATGTAGTATAACCAAGAGAGCATGGTTGAAAGGCTCATTCTTTCACTAACTAGTTTTGTGACCACAGGCAATTTACTTTCCTCAGCTGTCACTAAGCTTAAATGAACATAGCTGGCATTATGCCTAATGCAACGGAGATCAATAAATGGCTGCCCTAGCTATAATTATTTTTTGGGGTGGGGGAGGATATATGAGGTGGAATAAAGGTTCTGTGGTTGTAGAAGAAGCAAGGAGCTATGGATCAGAGTGCTGAATGGATGAAAAGCACCAAAGACTCAGATTTTCTTGACTTAGTAAAGACTATATTCATCAATTTTTGGCAATTCTGTGGGACCTATCAAATAAATATGTCCCAAATAAAATCCAGAAGGATATGATGGGAATGAAAACTAGGTTCCAAGTAATTCATTCATGACTTTCCCAGTACTTACAAACAGCACCTTAGCTAGAAATAAAGGTGGATTGGGATGGTGCTCTCATAGGTCAGAAAGCCTAACCACACCTTCTAATACTGATTCCAGTTTTTTGGGAGATAAAGATGTTTTCGTTTCTGAGAATGAAAACATTAGAGACTTCTTGGTATTTAATTTTCTGCCTACAAGATATTATCTCCTCTTTAATCTTTGTTTATTCTTCCCTCTGTAAGGGATGGACTCTCATTATGTCAGCATTCTCCTCATCCTTATCATTTAAAACTTATTTCAGAAACCACTTGTTCTAAGAAACTTTCCTACAGGTCACAACCCCCACCAGGTCAGGTGCCTTGCTCTAGGACTCACCACTATTTTGCCATCTGTCATAATGTATGACCACTAGTTTTTTCAGAAAAGGGCATCATATGTCTTACTCATCTTGATTCCCAGTACATGGACACATAGTGAGTGCTCACTAAGACTGGTTGGTTGAAAGATCCTGGCAAAGTGCCCAGGCTCCTGAGGTACATTAGCTACATACCTTCCTCTGGAGCATGGTATGCAGCCAGGGCATTCAGCATATCATAGATCACTTCCTTGATAGTATCAGGAATGACAGGCAGAGGCGAGGGCTTCAAAGGGGTTGTCTTCACCAGCTGTACAGCATTAGGACCTTTAATTCTAAGGTTCTCAAATTCATCATCGGAAGCTAAGCCAAAGTGAGACACAGAAAAATCAGTCAATGGTGAACCAGTACCTACACCTGGTTACTGATAAAGACTCAGAAGGGGGCTCGTATAAACACTGTGTAAGCTTGGGACAGAAGGCCATTTACGGTGTTTACGTAGCCTACTAGAAAATCTGGCTTTTACTTTCCCTAAATCCCACAGGACTTATTAGAGCAGTACCAAATAGTAAAAATAATACAGGCAAAAAAGAGTATATGGGCCACCTGGGTGGCTCAGTTGGTTAAGTGCCCAACTCTCTTGATTTCAGCTCAGGTCATCTCAGGGTCATGAGATAGAACCTGGAATCAGGCTCCACGCTCAGCGGGGAGTCTGCTTCTCCCTCCCCGCCATGCACACAAATAAATAAATAAATCTAAAAAAAAAAAAAAAGAGTACAGTCTTTGCAGTTGGGGAGACTTGGTTTTGAAATCCAGTTCTGTTACAGGATAATGGCCAAATTACTTAAATAAACCTTATTTTTTTCATTCCTAAAATTTGAGGATTAAATGAGATCACACATGAGATCTGCCCAGCACAGAGCCAGGCACATATCTGAGGCTCCCAAGATAGTGAGTCCCCCTTCCCAACCTACCTTTTATTTTAAAAAGAAAACCCATAACCCTACAGAAAAGTTTAAAGGTTAGTATAATTAACACCCATGTACTTTTCATCTAGAATCACCATTTGTCTACCCATAAATTTATCTACCTGCACTTAAGATCAAAGATATTTTTCTACATACCCACAATACCATCCTAACACCCAAGACATTTAACAAAGATATAATTATCTGACTATATATAGTCAGTATTCAAATTTCTCCAAATCTCTTTTTCTGGGTCCAGAATCCCATCATGGTTGATAGTTCTTTCTAGTTTCCTTTTAAAACCTAGGAGAACCTTGCATTTTTCCCCCTTTATAACAATATTTTTGAATAGTCTAGGTTGGCTGTCTTACAGAATATCTCACAATTTGCATTTAATTGTTTCCTCATAATTAAATATAGGCCTGACATTTTGAGTAAGAACACATTGATGATACTGTGTACTCCCTACTGCATCAGGTGGAGTCATCACATGTTCACTTGTCCCTCAATTACCACTTTATCTGTAAACCATTCACACTGTATATAAGCTCTGCTGTCACACCAAGACAAATTCTTTGAAGGTAAGGACTAGACTGAATGAGTCCTTGGTATCTCTGGCAGGGATTACCACAGGGCAAGTAAGAAGCTACTGAGTACTTCTGAATTGGCCCACAACCAACTAGTCAATGTCCCAACACTTGCCTAAGGAGGCTTTCCAAATTATAGATCTCCTCAAAGAAAATCTCGGGTTATACTAGGCCATAGACTTCAATGTCTCAAAGGCCAGGAGAAGGGGAAACTCACCAGTTCCTGAGCCTCGAGGGGCAGGAAGGGCAATGCGGATACAGCAGTTGGCTACTTCTGTGAAAATGTCTGGATTGCGGCATGCAGCTGGCCCAAGGACACGAAGGATGTAGTTGATCTCCCGAGAACCAAGGCTGCCGGATACAACACCAGAGGTCGTGCTACCAGCTCCACTTGTAGCTGCTGAGCGAACCACCTAGTAAAGAGAGAAAGAAACACTGCTGATTAAAGGCCACTTTCCAAAAATACAATTGCATTCAAGGAAGAGTTACCAAGGATTAAAATACTATCCAACTCTGCCTCCAGACAGTGGATGACAGCTTTAGATTTTTGAGAAAAGATGCACTTGGTCTTTTAAGTCCCATTCCGTCCTGATTATAAAAAAAGTTACAGCATTCGGCATATCCCAAAACTATCAATTATTACACCAGATGGCATATGATCTTCATAAAAATTGGGAAATGTATCTAGACCACTGATCATCCATCTAAATTATAGCTCTCACATATAAGTGCCAGCTCCTAGCCTTCCCAAATGCTGTCCCAATTTTAAGCCAGAATGGTTCAAACTCTAAAAATATGCAATACGGTATCTTGGTGCTTAAGAACAAAATTAAACGTTTTCTTTATGCCTCAAAGTCAATTATCAGTCTCAGATAGCCACAGGAAATATCAAACTATTTACAAACTATTGCTCTGATACTTCAGGGCTTACACATAATTATGCTTTTGGTCTTCTCATAAAAGGACGGATCAATCAATAGAAAATACAGGAAAGAATAAAGAAAATAACTCCACTGTATTTTCCATTATTTATTCCTTTGTGAGCTATGTTCACAAAGACAAACATCTTTTGGAATCTTAATGCTTTTCTTACCAAATCAGGCATGCTCTTTAGTTTAATGTATTAACCCCTTTATCTTGCCTGTAAGGCTACAATTATAAACTCTCATTTTTTAACAGAGAAGTATAATTTCACTATAAAGAATGTGCTATAATTTATCCAGTCCTCTGCTGGACATTTGATCTCATTTCTTGTTATTACAACCAATTCTACAGTGAACATTCTATATGTGCCTCGACATACTTAACTTCCAATTATCAAATAAATTCTTAGCCACAGAATTTCTAGGTCAAAGGATATCTTAAACTGACAGTACCAAATTGCCCTCCAATGTGGCTGCACCAATTTCCACTCCTACCAAAAGTAAGAGTATGCCTGGTGGTCCACACCCGTACCTGCAATGGATATTATCAAGCATTTACATTTTGCCAACTTGGTATGTTAAAACTGCCACTGATCTTCCTTTGCTCCCCACACCCCCAAATACAATTAAGCTTAGAAAGTTCTTTTTTTTAAAGATTTTATTTATTTGACAGAGACACAGCGAGAGTGGGAACACTAGCAGGGTGGGTGGGAGAGGGAGAAGCAGGCTTCCCACAGAGCAGGCAGCCCGATGTGGGGCTCGATCCCAGGACCCGGGGATCATGACCTGAGCCGAAGGCAGAGACACTTAACGACTGAGTCACCCAGGCGCCCCAGAAAGTCCTCTCATCCTGAACCTGTATTTTATTTCCTAGCATTTTTTAAGTTGTATAAACTTTAAATAATTCAAGTATTTTGTTTTTAAGTCAGAATTCTGTCTGTATATAGTTGTTTCTTCCCTATTGGGCTGTCTCTTGCCCTTGGAATAATGTATATGCAGCTTTTAATAGCAGTCCTTCTTTTGATTTTGCTCATGTCAGATGAAATCAAAAAGGCTCGGTAAAGAACTGAAGAATGTGAGATGTATACTCATACACACGTGGAAGTATAAAGTGGTATCCCCTTTCTGGCAAGCAAGTTAAAAAATACTTGTATATTTTGATCCAATTTCTAAGAATCTCTAAGAAAAACAAATCTTAAATGTGACAAAGCTATGCACAAAGATGCATATTGCAACATTACTTATAAATGTGGGAAACAATGTCCCAAAAGAGAAAAATGGAAGTCCAATAACATTCACATGATGAATGTTGACAAAGAATTAGGAGGAGGAACGAAGACATTTGTCTTCCCTACTCCTCCCTCTGATGTCTTAATGTTGATGTTAAAAACATTTTCATTTTTCCTAATTGCTATGTCATTTCTTCCACTGCTTTATGTTTCCTAAAATGAACATACATGCCTCAGTTTTCCAATCTGCACAATCGGTATCTGTAAAGAGCTTATTAAAGTGTCTGGTAGATCATAAATATTTCCAAAACTTTACTACTTTTACAACCCCAAAATACAATGTTTGGAAAATAGGCTCATGGGTGAACACATGAGAAATACTCCTATAAAGTAATTAAGGTGTGAACTTGGCAGAAGGTATCCCAGTTCCTCATTAACAGTTTCTGCTTCAAGAAACCCATATATATTGCCAAAGAGGACTTTATAGCTAAGATTTATTACTATAGTAAATTTAAGAATAGAAAATCTTATGTTCTACTTTTTAAAAAAATGTCATCCAATGGGGGACAATCTACCATACCTAAGCAAGCACCTGATCACATAGTTGGTAAAGTTTGCCAGACAAAGCATATAGTCTATATATCTAGCTAGCTACACACACACACACACACACATACACACACACACACACACCTTATGAAGAACCAGAAGTGTAGCTGTTCTGAGACCAAGGAGAACAAAGGTATGATATAAAGCTAAACCAGCTTCTGACACCACAAAGACTTACCTTTTCCATGGTATGACGGAGGGTGCAGGGGTCCTCAATGATGTGTCTTAAGAGAAGGGTGACCAGGGGAGTAAACCCATTGAAGCCTGAGCTCTGGGTCAAATTCAAGATCATGCGGGTACTCTTCAGCTCTGCAAACATCATGGCGTATTTGTGGTCTCGGGTGAGCCTCAGGCAGAGGCGAAGGGTGGCATGCAAAGTGTCTGGGTCCACAGGGACTCCTAGCATGCTCACGCAGGCCCGGATTAAAACAGTCACCATATCCTCTGTCAGGCCCTGGATCAGGATCTCCCCAACTTTTGTTTCTTCCAGGCTCGTCTCCTTTTCAGTATTTGTACTCTCTAGGGCCAAAGGAGTATCTACAAATAAGAAAGTAAGAGTTCAGACAGTTTAACTTGACATTTCTTCCCACATCTCTCCCTCATAGCCAGGTCAAGCACCTGGGTCCTATTAAGAGACATACAATCGGGCTCCCTGCTCAGCAGGGAGTCTGCTGCTCCCTCTGACCCTCCCCCCTCTCATGCTCTATCTCATTCTCTCTCAAATAAATGAATAAAATCTTTAAAAAAAAAAAAGAGAGACATACAAAACATTAATTCCAAGACCAGATGAAAGAAAGGGCATTTAAAAAGGACTGTTGATCTTTAAGTCACCAAGCAATCTGATGGATAAGAAAATCACTCTTGATGAAGTTGTCCAAAATTTAAACCATAAAGGTACATTAAGCTTTATGTAACACATCTTGAAACATTCAAAACTAAAAGTCTATACCATTGGCTTTATTTTCTTTACGTTTGATATCCATTTCTTTGCTTTCTTCCAGTGTCTTCTCTAGCTCTTGTCCATTGCTATTTTTCGAGTTTTTATTCAGCCGTGGTACCCTCAGGAGAGTCAACATCACAGGGCGCCGGTTCCCTGTTTCTTCATTAACCTAGAAATTCAAGAAGACAAAAAAAATCTATACAAAGAAAAGAAACTATAAGAAGGGTTGGAACTCCCAGGCAAAATCCTGTAATAGGAAGGAACTCTGGCAATTTATCCCATCCCTATCATTTATAGAGAGAAAGCCTAAAGTCCCCAGAAGGAAAGTAGCATACATAAGGCCCTATAACAAACTGGAAACTTTCCAATAGAGCAGATATCATCTCTAACACTTAAAATCATTTCTGGGTGGGACAGTATCAAATTGCCACAGACTGACTCATGGTTTCACTAATGACTTTAGGAAGACACTGTTCTCTGTGAATTATACCCAATTTAGTAGTGGTAATAGTGCTTCTTAGAACACGTGACGACTGCTGGTTCAGGAAGAAGCAAACCAAAAGACACACCCAGTACCTTCCTCTCTTTTCAATAAAGTTTATGGCACTGAGTGAGCATGTACCTGCACCATTGTAGTGAACTGGACAGTGTATCTTCTTCGGCCTGCAGTGAAACGCACACTTGTCTCTCCAGATTTCCAGGCAGAATCAATAGTGCTGTTGTTGCTTGCACTGTAACTACACCAACGCCCAGAGCGGTCATCAAACCAGCGCCAGTTGTTGTTGTTGGACTGTAGATACTAAACATAAGAACACAAAGTTTCTTTGTATTTCCTACAAGGTTGGTTTTTAGAAGAAATAGTAACTTCATCTGTTCACTGCTAAAGCTAACCCAGGAAAAAGAAATAACACTAAACATTTAATGAAATTTTGAGAGCCAAGAGAGAAATTTTTGTATGCATTAACTCTCAAGTTCCTGAGCCCCTCCATAAGTGCAAAACCCTCTACACCCTTGTCCTGCAATCCTCAGCTTTCCTTTTGTTTCCAACTATTTTGTACAAATGGCAAACAATTTGGATGTGCAGGAACAAAATTTCTGTTTCTGAGAAGGCACTGAGATAATGTGGCATATATGATTTTCGTATAAAGAGCCACTTGGCTTGGGGCGCCTGGGTGGCTCAGTCGGTTAAGTGTCTGACTCCTGGTCTGCTTAAGAGTCTCTCTCTGCCCCTCACCCCTCCCTCTCTAAAATAAATAAATAAAATCTTAAAAAGAAAAAAAAAAAAGGAGCATTTGCCTTTTGGAGGAATTGCTGCATACTCAGTCCTTCACATAAAAGCCACTCCCTCCTCTGGAGATAGCACACTCCTTTAACATTTACTTCCAGGTAAGTTCTTGGGCCCTTTCGCAAGCAGTTCCATAAAAAAGTAATTCCAACTCACCATTCAGAAGAGAAATCTAGAGTTACTAAGATTCCTCAAGAGATTTACATCTTAATCAGGGAGCTTTCCCCCTGATTCTTTACCACTCTCTCATATTCTCTTCTGGTCTATTCTTGCCCTGAGAAGCTTAGCAGTTTTATCAACCATATTATTACATACCTTAGTCATTTGGGCTCTTCTTTTAGAGGAAATGGCTGTCTTTTCATAGAAATCTATCAGGAGCAACACTGGGGTGATCCACCTAAAAAAGAAATGATTTACTCTGGGAAAGCCAGAAACTTCCACAATATGGGAAAACTTACCTTGATTTCATTAGGCACCTCAACTATTTTCAAACCACAAAAGGTACCCAAGATTTGCCCCATACATGGTCCAGAAAAGTGCCTAATTCAGGCCCTAAGGGGAACAGAAGTGAAACCAGGTGAGATAAAAGTCACTCACTTTGGGGTCTGGACCTCCTTTTGCTCCTTAGCGGCCTGTAGGCAGGGCTGAACTACTTCCAAGAGTTTGATTAGGACATTAAGGATGCCACTTGATTCAACGACCCAGGCACAAGGTAGCTTCAACTCCTAAATGATCAAAGAAAAAACATAAATACCAACCTCTACTCAGTATTAAGGATTAGCACAATATAGGAGAACACAGAGGTGAACACTAAGAGAACTGGTTGAATTCAAATTCCACCTCCGCCACCTACCAGCTGTGTGATCTGAGATGAGTTACTTAAATTCTCTAGGCCTTGGGTGTCTAGACGCCCAGGGGTCACAGGAAATCATTATTTCTACCTCCAATGTTAATTGTGGTGATTAAATGAAGTGTGTGTGTACGTTTGCTCACTCTAATGCCCAACACAGTGCCTGGCACATTAGTATATACTTAATACGGAAGTTGTTATTAGTATCATTAATATCATTAAGGACCGTCATCTAGGCTACACAGTCTTAATTATGTTGAAGTTGAAAAGCTTCTGATTTTCAGAGAACCTTTACATTCTTTCTAGGAAGATGGAATAATTAAACATAGCAATGATTAGTAGTTCCCCTATAGGGTCTACACTAAAGTAGTTCCTTTACAGGGGCTGCACTAGAAGTAATTTAAATGTCCAACAACAGGCAATTACTTAAATAAACTAGTAGATATCCAAAAGATGGAATGTACACATAACTTGGGAAAATATTCATAATATAATATAATACTGAGAATACGGATACAAAAGTTTCTTAACAGTCTGATCCTAATTGTTTAAATGCATAGGGCAGGTCCTTTGATTTTTAAAAGGGAGGGGATTCATGAGTGATTTCTCTCCATATTATGTTACTGAGGACCCCGTTCCCATAAGTATCCATTCACAAGTGCTATAGTAAGAATTACCACTTCCATCAAAAAGGAAAGTCAAGACTGTAGACACACAATTGACATATATTGGACTTAATCTCCTCAGCTGTTGTAAGGGATTTACTCCATTAAGTTCAGGTTGTACTATTAAACATGAGCAACAAATGAAGAGTCACTTGTTCGAGGTCAGTTGCCTCCTAATTCCTGAATTGGTTGGAACAAGAACATGTCTTGGCCAAACCACTCTCTTGCCTAAAATAATTTGCTGACTGACCAGCTATGAAGGAAGAATCAGATTCTCTAATGCCTATTATCCAATTTCCACATTCCCCATCTCACTCTTTGGCTGCCAGTTAGGTTTCTTCAGAGAGGCCCAAATTATTCCACAGCTATACTATGATGGTCATTCTAAAAACCTTTTAACTACCACCCCCCAAATCCTCTACAACACAATTCAAATAATTAACACTTGTTCTGAGAAGCTTTTTCCTCATTATCCAGAAGTGATGCATTAGCCCTCCTCTTGAACTCAGAGAAAATTCTTTGTTATTTATGTGGCACAAAACATTGCATTTTGTACTTAATTACATGTCTTACAGCCTATCAGAAACTGTGAGCTCATGGAATGCAGAGATCATGCCTTATATTTCTATTTTCTTCAAGGTCTCAAATGGTAGGTATTTGATAATTCTTCAATGATGAATCACAGGAACCAAAAAATCTAAATCTTACCTCAAAAAGCAGTGTTAAAAGCAAGATTCTAGTAGCCAAGTTGGAAGCCTGGGGCAGGGTGGCCATCTGACTGATCCACTCTGACACAGTTTTTGTGTCACTTGTTGTCAGGGGAAGAGCAGCTTTGATCAATACATCGGCAGCTTCCCATACCTACAAAAGCAGAGAAGTGACCAAGTCAGGTAACTGTAGATGGAGTATGATAAGGTTTGTCAAAACATTCTCAACCTTGTAAAATACTCCCTCTATCCCTAACACATGTTTGCTGAAGGAGGGTAAGTAAATAGTAAAACATTTACTATAGGGATTTAGTGCCTGCATCAAAAGATGTATGCTATGAAAGGAGCACCTCTAAAAGATTATTTTCCTAGGCTAGATTACAAGAAGCTAAGAAGCTAGTAAGTTAAAGGAAATTAGTATTTAAACAATTTCTAGGGAAAATAAATTCCAGTACACAGAGTCAACCCCACAAAGCTTCTACCAACTTACACTTCCATCAATAATCTTTTACTACATCTGCCTCAGAATTATCATTAAAAACAAAAACAAACCAGAATGTCAGAAATGTTGGTCTTGCTTTAGTTTGCATGTTAAATTTCTTATAAACAATTGCTCTAAGTTTTAGTTTTCTTTTTTTTTTTTTTTTAAAGATTTATTTATTTGACAGGAGAGAGAGAGTACAAGCAGGGGTAGCGGCAGGTAGAGGTAGAGGGAGAAGCAGGCTCCCCGCTCAGCAGGGAGCCCGATGTGGGGCTTGACCCCAGGACCCTGGGATCATGACTTGAGCTGAAGGCAGATGCTTAAGGACTGAGCCACCCAGGCGCCCCAAGTTTTAGTTTTCTTAAAATAATTTCTGTAAGCTCTTTATATAAAGATAACTAAACCTGGGTCTTATCTTGTGTAGAAAAAAAGGTTTATCCAGTTTGCCTTTTACTTTTGTAATATTTCCGTACACTAAAGTTATGCTTCCATATATCACTTTGATTTCTTCCTCTGCTTCTTGACTTTAAAAAATACGTAAAACAAGATTCCAATGATTTAAAAACATGAATAGTAGGGGCGCCTGGGTGGCTCAGTCTGTTAAGCATCTCACTCTTAATGTTGGCTCAGGTCGTAACCTCAGGGTCCTGAGACTGAGCCCTGCTTTGGGCTCCATGCTCAGCTCGGAGTCCACTTGAGATTCTCTCTCTCCTTCTCCCTCTGCCCCTCCTCCTGCTTATACGCGCTCTCTCTAAATAAAAATCTTAAAAGAAAAAAAACCCCATGAATAGTAAAAAAAAAAAAAAGTAATAATGTATACAATTAGTATACATTAATTTCAGAATGAGGAAAACACTGTTTAAAAAAAGATAAATAGGGTGCCTGGGTGGCTCAGTTGGTTAAGCATCTGCCTTCGGCTCAGGTCATGATCTCAGGGTCCTGGAATCAAACCCCGCATCAGGCTCCCTGCTCAGCAGGGAGCCTGCTTCTCCCTCTGCCTCTGTCTCTCCCCCCACTTGTGTACTCACTCTCTCTGAAATAAATAAATAAAATCTTTAAAAAAAAAAAAAAAGATAAATACCAGGTCACAGCTATTCATTATGATGAGAACTTTTTTGTCCAAGTGGTTGTTACATAGGAGAGGGAAAATAAAACATTTATTCACTGTTAGTCCATGGGACCTAACTTGGCTCAAGTCACATTTGGGACATTTTAGATGAATTTCAGAAGAGATGCCTAGAAAAAGAGAGCTTTGTTTTTTCCCTTCATTTTTTGCGAAGTAGTTTATTCACTTTTTGCACGGAGCACTCAAGAAAGAGTGAGACTACCAAATCTAAAGAATTCAAAGAGAATATATCCGTATCGGATTAAAAAAACCAAAACCCAAAAACCAACCCTCCCCGAAACAAAACGAAAAAAGGTTTCCTTTTTTTTAATCAGAGTTTGATGATGGCAGAAAAACACACTTTTTTAACTTTAAAAAAAAAATTATGTTCAGTTAGCCAGCATGTAGTACATCATTAGTTTTTTATGTAGAGTTCAACAATTCATTAGTTGCATATAACACTCTCCTCTTCTGGGCCCTGGAGAACTTACCTGATTGACTACTTGCTTGAGAATCATATCTCGATAGTCAGCTCCATTACGTTTGATTGCGGTCATGATCAGATCACACACCCGGTACACTGTGTCCGGCAGCTCATCAAGAAGGTGAAAGCAGCCTGGCAACATGGTATCTGTGAATGTGTGGAGCTCATCTTGTTCCAATGGATCAGCATCCTGGAACTTCTCTAGACATTTAGCTTCTTCCTCTTCCTGCTTTTCCCGAGCTTTCCGTTCCTCCTCTTCCTTCCGACAAGCAACTTCCTGGAGGCAGGGAAGAATGATAGCATACGGGAGAGTTAAAGAAAAATAGGGAACACTCTAAGAATGTACTGGCCCTACCATACTGAATACCCACTACCTTCTCCTCAAGCAGGTGATAGGTTCTTCAGGGTGTGGTAATCATTCATGAGGGCAGCCTCAAAGGCTAAGGCAAGACAGGAAAAAGCAGAGGAGGAGGACGCTTCCAACCCCCAAAGTACTGCCAACTTATTTACAGCATCCTATATCACAGCCTCCCACGAAATCATTTGGAGACACTGTCCTGCATTCTCTGCCAATATTGTAAACTGAACAGACAGCCAAAATTGGCCTAATGAACACTACCAAGTACATTTTGGGTCTCTTATTTGACAGTAAAAGGTTCACATTTCATGGGTCTCACTTAAAGCTTCAGGTCAATTAAGTCTATTAGTGATGGCAAGGTTGGGATGAATGAATACTCCCATGTCGTTCTTTAGATATTAATTCCTCCAATCATTTTGCAGCAGTAGCAGAATGTTCATAAAAATATTAAGATTAATGTGTCAGACCCTTTTGGGTGTCCTGCTTCCTAGTTACCTCAGGTGACTCTGCTCTTTGATCCATTGGGATATCCTGTCCTAGAGACATGGCAATTGCTCTCATCATCTGGTCCTCTTCGGACATACTCAGATCCTACAGAGAAACAACAGAAAGTCCAGCAACAAAGCACATACCAACTTATAAGGAATCAGACATCCTGTGCTCAAGCTTTAGAGGAGAAGGTGCTCTGAATGCTGCTAAGAGTCAAACCCACCTAGGCTTATCTGGTCACTACAATAACAGGGAAAATCACAATGAAATTAAGCACAGGAAGGAGGCTTCAATGTGACCACTTATTCTGCAGCTCAGAAAGGGGAGTTTCTTCTATTGCTTTCTGACTATGGATAACTTAAGAGTTCTTCTGGAAAAAAAAAAAAGTCCAGTAATTTGCATGGCTGGGAGATAGGAAGCCTCTGCTCATTACATTCTAGAACTGAGAGTTATCACAAAATGAAAATAGTGGCATGCAGATGTCTGAAAATGAAAAGTAGTTTTAGAAGGGAAGACCAATGATGGAAGTACAACAGAAGAAAAAACACATCAGCAGCCAAACCAATGTCTACAAAATTAGAGCCCCCTGAGCCAACTTACCCGAACAACTCCTCCCATGATTGGGGGAGGATGGGTTAGAAGGTACTCTGTGGCCTGCTCCATGGTGCTGGTGTTCAACAGGGCCTCCATGGCATGTTCCCTTGTGAAACCCATGTCCATGAGCTACAGAAAGAATGCAGAATCTCAGAACCACAGTAAAAGAGAAATCCAAATGCATTTTAAAAAGGTAGAAACACTTCCAAGATGGAAAGAAGTTTTTCTAACTTCATATGAACTGAGAACATTAATAAGCTCAGGGAGTTAGGTAAATGAACAATCCTTTCCGTTTGGTGCTTCCATAGTATTCAAACAGAGCTACACATTGGGGCAGGAAGCCAAGGTGATTCTCAATTCTGTCCTCTAAGAAAATGGGGCTAGATGGTTATTAACATTAATAGGATTGTTCTAATTCAAAGACCGAGATTTACACATAGAAGTAAAAATTGGACCCCACTTTTCTGGAAAACAAACTGGCAACAGAACAAGAGCCTGAGAAGCTGACCTAGGAATTCTGTTGCTAGGAAATAATCATGAGATGTACAGAAAGATTTGTACAAAAGGAAACTATACAGCACAGCTTTACAACATCAAGTAATAAAACCAATATCCAGTAATAAAAGAATGACAAGAAGTTAAAAAAGCGTTTTCTTAATGACAGCACAATTCTACATATTGTATGTTAATTATGTAAAAATTAGGCATAAAACTAAGTGATGAAAAACTATCTTGTGTGTTGATGTTATAAATGACTTTAAAAATATCTTGCTGTATTTCCAAATTTTCTTAAAGTGAGCATTTATTGCTTATAATAAAAATGTTGCACGAATATGTAGAAGACATATTTGAAGAGGACTCCAGACATAAAAAGAACATACATACACACACATAAATTCCCAGAGAAATACGCTAAATGCTCTGTGAGACTGAAAAGTCAGGATCATAAGTGCCTCCCCCCTCCGCTTCTAGCCTCCCGATTTTCAAAATGTGGTTTATGTATTTACTTAAAAACAACAACTAAGTTTTGTAGGTAAGGTTTCAGAGAGCTCTTGTTGGAGAATAAATTTGGGTCACGATACCCTTAACCATTCCCTCTACAGATAAATCAGTAAATAGCTGAGGATAGTTCACCTCCAAAGAACAAGGCAGCCACAGCCTACTGAGAATACTATAAAAGAGTTTTAATACTAAACAACATGTTTGGGAGGACACAAATCTTATACCGGTTAAGAGCACTGAAACACCTCAGCTTTCTCAGGAGAAAAAAGCAATGCTAAGAGGGAACAAATTTAAACCTATCTCCTGGCTAAGAGCACCAAGCACTTTGTGGTATGTAAACATAGAAAACTCACAACCCACTTAGTGGCATGTAAACTTAGAATATACTTGTGGGTTTGTGAGTTTTCTATTGGCAGCAAAGTCTGGGCCCTGGAGTGGGGAAGCCAGGATCCTACCTGTTGCAGTTGCTGCTGGTTGACTTGAGGTTCTCGGCGAGAGCCACCTTCCTCTTGCCCTGTGTCCTCTTCTCCTCGAGATCCCTCCTTCTCTTTGCTCAGTCTCTCTCGAATCACAGGTTCTCCTCGGAGGATGTGGCATAGGATAGCCAGCATGGACTCAGCCATTCGCCCGCCATATACCTTCAGGGGCTTCCGATTCCACAGGTTCTTGATGCAAGTAAAGGCTGCCTAGAAGTCATTTGAAAAGCTGTGTGAAGATCATTTTATCTCAATTCAAAGCCACTGGAGGAATAAGTCAAAGACCTATTGGATAGTCTTTCCACGAAAGGTCAGTGCCAACAATAAAACCCTAGGTCAGTACTGAGGAGGCCTAAAGAACCACAGAGAAGGGGCATTTAACCCAACCTGAAATACCAATCTCAAGTGTACAGTTAAAATATTTACACTACAGGAAATTCTCCAGTGGTCTCTATCCCGTTCTGTAAGGCAGCCCTATCTGGGAGTAGGATCCAATGGTTCTCCAACAATCAAGTTATTTCATTAAGGAGGACAAAAAAGAGGGAGAGCTACCTAGTCAGCATGAGAAATCCCTCTTGGTTTCAGAATGCTTAATACTCACTTTCTGAGTTACCACAAGGAAGCGGAGGGCACTGAATTGTGGAAAGTTCTGGACACCTCCAGGCAATTTGGCAGGCAGTGAATGTGGAGATTCAAGCACCGTGGTGGGATTCACCATCTTCTCCACTAGCATTAGCCAGGCATCTAGGAATTCTCCTGTGCCATCAGGTAAATCTGAATGCTCTAATCCCTCAGCAACAGGAACTTTGCCTCCCATGGACAGAGCCCAATTGAAAGTTCTAAAATTCAAATAAGAGAAAGTATGGAGATAAAATATTAGTATTTTAGATTGGGGTGGGGAGGGGGGCATTCAGAAGGTTCCCAGTATCTACATCAGCATTACATGTCCCTCCTCTTGGAGCTACGGCTGCTAATCTGTCCAACATCTGTACAACATTTATTAGCTTTATCTTTTTTTGAGGGGAGGGTTTATTCCAGATTTATTGGGGTATTACTGACATATAACAGATGTAAGTTTAAGGTATACAACGTGATGACTTGATACACATATAGAATCCAAAATTATTACCACTTTTAGCTTTACTTTTTAAAGCCAAAATGAACAAACAGAAAAACCCAAAGTGGCTGTTGCCAGAGGGAGCACAGGGGAGTAGGGGGATGGTTGAAATAAGTAAAGGGGATTAAGAGGTACAACTTAGTTATAAAATAAACAAGTCACAGAAATGAAAAGTACAGCATAGGGGATAAAGATAATAATATTGTAGTAACTTTGTATGGTAACAGATGGTAACTACACTTATTGTGATGAGCACTGCATAATGTACAAAATTGTCAAATCACAATGTTGTACACCTGAAACAAGTATAACATTGTATGTTAACTCTACTTCAATAAAAAAAGTGAAACTCTGCTTAGAATCTTCAGACCAAGAGAAGCAGAAAAATTATCAGTCAGAGAAACAATAGAAAAGGGTAAGTCTATTAAAAAAATATGTATACCTGGCACTAAAAACCAGATGAGGAAAAGCAGAGACCCTTACAAACACCTCTAGGACAAGTTGAATCCCACCCTCCAAGGAAGACGGAGACAAATATGGCTAGTTCCCAGAATGTGAAAGGGTACAACTAACGGCTGCCTCTATGTATCCCACTACTACAGGATAGGTGATTTAGAAAGTTGTGTGCTGCTAAGGCACACAGAAAGACCAAACTCCAAGAAATGCTTCTCTGTGAAGCAACTTGATTCTTACTCAAAAAGAGCATTGTGGCCTCCAGAGCAGAGAAATTTCTGCAGCATGAGGTGGTAGGGATACTTCCTCTCATCAAACAGCATTGGGGATGTAAAACCAACTGAACAGATGAAGAATGTCAGCCTGAAAGAGGGGGAAAAAGCAAAATTTTAGCCTTCTCTGAGGCAGTCACAGAAGTGGTGGGAATTCATATAGCTGCCTAGAGTAAAATTTAACATTGCACTGAAGTGACTAAGAGACTGACTGGAATTCAGGTGGGTGGCTGGCTAGTCTGGTTATTAAAACTTCTAAGGCAAAAAAGGTGATAGTTCTCACTTACTAAAAAATACAAGGTTACTGAAATACAGTTTGATCATAAATACTTTAAAAATCTTTATATTCTAGACTAAGAAGAACCAAGACAAGTACATTAAACTGCATGTAGGCTACACATCTAGAGTTAACAGGGAACCTTTCAAGTCCTCTAGTTTAGTGGCTCACTCTCCGCTAAGTAGAAAAGGAACCAGTTAGATTCCATATCTCAAGTAGAACTCACCTGAAGCGGGGAGTAGGTGTATATGGTGGAGGCTGCCAAGACAAGCCCTTTGTGAGGAGCTTAGTGAGGGCTGAGGCTGTGGATCGAGCAGCAGGTGTTGGTGCTGTGGTGGTGCTGGCAGCATGATGGCTCCTTCTCTGGCGGACAGGAGACCCCACACAAAGTTTAACAAGGAGTCCAAAAAGCTCAGCGAGCGCTCGGCCTAATCTGGAGGATGCTGGAAACCAAGTCAGAATAAGGCATGAGAGTATGCTGAGAATGGTTTCATTATAACTGAATAACATTATTATCAATACATTTTTATGACTGACCACTTCCTCCCAACAACACCTGGACTTGTTTATACATAGGACAACCCAAAAAGGAAGTTCCACAGAGAATAAATGCCTCTTTTGAAGGCAGGAGACAGAGAAGTATATTGGCACTTGATATATAACAAATGTGAAAGACAAATAAACACACTGTTAAAGGAGGTATAGAGTTGAAACCACCTTTGTAGAAGAAGCATCAATATGAACCAGTTAAATGAACAGAATCACTTAAAATGCCTACAGAACTTTAAAAATAGCAAAACTGTTAACCACTTAGACCAGGAAAGAACATCGTATATATTATCTCATCACAACATTAAATATACGATCCCCAAAGGAAAAAAGATCGCTAGGAAAAGCATAAAAATTTTATTAAGTGGCTTTAATATTAATTAATTTATAGAGAGACTGTGCATGTGTATGCACGAGCAGGGGAGGGGCAGAGAGAGGGGGAAAATTCCAAGCAGGCTCCATGCCCAGCACAGAGCCTCATGTGGGGCTTGATCTTATGACCCAAGCTGAAATCAAAGGTCAGACCCTCAACCAACTGAGCCACCCAGGTGCCCCACCAAAAGCCATTTTCTGCTTGCTTTGGGGCAAAGCTCCAGATTCCCAGGAGTTAGGTCTTCACCTTCCTCTACATTAAGTTGTCGGAAAGTAGCAAATATTAAGGAACATACAAAATAGGTTCCCCAAACATTGATATTACATTAAGGGGCAAAAGAAGACAAAGATCAGTGCACATCTTTAATGCAGTCTTATATCATGTTAATGTAGTCTCCGCAGAGCTGCCAAAATGACATTATTAAAACATGAATCAACCATGTCATTTGCCAGCTGTATTTAAGGGACAGAGAAAGGAAAAGGAGACTGGGTGGAGTAGCCAAACAGGTAAGAGGAAAGCAGGAGAGTTTAATACCACAGAAGCCAAGAAAAGAGCATTTTGAGGTGATGGGCCGACTATCACGTTGCAGACAAGTGAGAAGGGGACTGAAGAGTATCCAATGGACTTAGCAACAGGTCACTGGTGAGTCATTTCAGTGGAATGGTAAGAGCAGGAGCCATTTGCAGTAGTTGAAGAATGAGTAGCAAGGAAGGAATTAAAGATACTGCTTTCAGGAAGCATGTCTCTTATCCCTGTATCCCTAGAAGTTAGTACAGAGCCTGTCACATAGTAGATACCACCTGAAAATGAGCCACCCAAGTTTACAAGTTTTTTAAAGGAAACAACAGAACCATACCAACTGAATTTGTCTAAGAACTGGTTAAGGCTCTAAAAGCCAGAAAAGGGAATAGAATGAAGAAAATCACTCACCTGACAATAAAGGCTTGATCTGCTTGATTCTTGCAGCCATAGCAGGTGTGATTTTAGATTTGCCTTTAGAGTCTGAAGCAGTAGGTTCATCTGTCTCCATGGGAGCCAATGTGTCACCATCAAGTCCAATGCCTTCTAATAAGCCCTGGGTAGAAGCATCCATACTTGCAGCTGCTCCATCCTGTTCCCCATCTGTAGACATAAGAGGGGAGCAATAAGACCATGTTGAGTCATCACTTACCTGGTTCCCTGTCCTGAGAGTCACAAGAAAGAGCTACCTATGGTGCTTGTTACTCTTTAAAAATGTCCATAACTTCCTAAATCTGAAAAGGAAAAACAAAAACAAAACGTTAACTACTGATATGCTCCTCTCCTTGGAGCCCTTCTAGGTAGCCAATACTGACATCTTCCAGCAGAAGCATATGAACTGTTTTAACCCAGGGCTACCCTGCAAAACCGTAGGCACTGTATGACATAGGGAGCGCCATTCACAGAGACTACAATGTGCGTGGTGTACCCTGCCCTCCAGCCAATGCTGTCAAGGTGAATATCCTGTTAATATTTTATGGCTTGTCAATAAACTCAAACATCAGATTGCCACTAGAGAAATATATTTTATGGCATTTAAGATTTTTGTGTATGAATGTGAGATGTATCCTTTTTTTGGTGGAGATATGCATGCTCTTATAACTAATAATCAGATTTAGACAAACTTTTAATAAAACACATCACCAAGTTTTCTTTGTAATGTTCTAAAAAAGAACTAGGTGGAAATGGAATCATCTTTTTAAATGTGTGAAAGAAATTGCTGGAAAAAAATATATCCAGATTGTTAGGTGAAGCAATTCTTTGACACCGAATCTAATTTTATTCATACTTCTTAGTAAATTATTTATTTTTTCCTTGATTCAAATTTGGTTTATTTTGACTAAATATGAAGTTCTAATTTTTGGTTTGGTCCATTTTCTCCAAATTTAACTGGACCAAAGGTTTGTGTTTATTAATTCTCTCCCCTCTCCCATAATAACTAGCTGTCATATAAATCCTTTATCTGTTCCTTAAGCATTTCCCCTATGTTTAGTAACCTAAATACAATTTTTAAGCATATCCTATCAGTTTTTATACACAGAATTGTCTTGTTTCTTTAATAGTTTATTAAATTTATTTCTTCCTTGAGACAGAATATAAGGGGAAAAGTTTTTATTAATTTTAGGTTTGTTGCATTAGAGTCTGAAAATTGTGTATAGTTTCTGCTTACTGCAATTTGCGACTTTACTGTGATATAACACAAAAGCTATTTTCTAAAATATCACTGTACAGGGGTGCCTTGCTGGCTCAGCTGGAAGAGCCTGCGACTCTTGATCTTGGGGTCGTTGAATCTGAGTCCCATGCTGGGTGTAGAAATTACTTAAATAAATTAAAAAAATTAAAAAAACAAACCAAAACACTGTACAAGGAGAAGAAAGATGGCAGAGTAGGAGGACCCTGAGCTCACCCAGTCCTACATTTACAACTAGGTATCATCCACATCCAAGTCATTAAACTGAAGAGCAATCCGAAGGCTGGCAGAACAAACTCCACAACTAAATATAGAGAAGCAGCTGCATCTGAAAGTTTAGGAAGGTCAGAAAGGCAGAAGGAGGCTGCCCACTGAAGGGAGGGAGCTGGGCACACAGCAAGGGCAGAGAAACGGGCACTTGCACTAGGAAGCTCAAACGGGGAGAGTAATCCCCATAATCTGGCTTTAAAAATCAGAGTGGCTGAATTCCGGGAGTTTGTAAAACCACTGGGACTTGGGAGTCTGGAGCTTTAAAAGTAAGACGACTCAGCACTGGGCCAACTATCACTGGGTCACCACCCTTAAAGAGACAGCAGTCTGTATGAAGAAGTAACATAAAAATGGCAGTTTAACACAATGCTGAGGGCAACCGGGAGACAGATCTGTTGATATTGATTTAGGAGCATGTTGGGGGATTTCTTTGAAAAGGAGAGAGCTGGTGGGAGCCATTCCCCACCCCACCTCCCTGCCCCCCAGCACTAACACAGAGCACCCTGCAGGAGGCGAGGCTGTACAGCCAAGTGCTACCTAACTTGCTAGCAGTGCACCACAGCCACGAGGTCTCCTAAGGACTCACCTACTCAGGGCAAATTCTGTTAAATCCGCACATACCCGACCCAGGCATGCCCCTAGCTGCTTCAGTGTTTTGAGGAACCTGGCATAGGACTAGTGGTCCAATGCACATTTTCCTAACACTGCCTTCCAGCTTTCAAGTTCACCAGTGGACATGCCCCTCAGAGCTAGCCTGCCTAGGTCCCACTAACACTACAGAGAGCAAGTACAGCTCACAAAAGGCAGAGAGTCAGTGCAAATGGCTGCCCAGACAGGAAAAGTAACTTAGACAAAACAGCAAGACATAAGCAAAATATACAGGATACTCTCCTGAAGTACCATGTTCTGGTGAACAGGGCACACTGCACTCCAGGGCATTCTAGGACTGCTTCTTCATAAAGTCACTACTTTCAAGAGCAGAAGACACAGCTGACTTTCTTAACACAGAGAGGCAGACAAAATAAAGAGAGAAATTTATCCCAAATGAAAGAACAGCTAAGGCCATGGCCAAAAATCTAAGTGAAACAGATATAACATGCCTGATAGAGAATTTAAGGCAATGATCATGAGGATACTCACTGGACTCGAGAAAAGAGTGGAAGGCATGAGTGAGACCCTTAACACAGAGATAAGGAACAACACAGGAGAGATAAAGGGTTGAATAAATGAAATGAGAAACATGCTTGATGGAACAAAAAACAGTATGGAAGAAGCAGAGGAACAAACTAGTGACCTAGAAGACGAGAGCAAGGGAAAGTAATCAAACTGAACAAAAGAGAAAAGATTTAGGCAAGAGGAGAATAGATTTAGGGAACTCAGTGAGTCCATCAAACATAACAACATCTGTACTATAGGAGGCCCAGAAGAAGAGAGAGGAGAGAGCAGAAAATTTATTTGAAGAAGTAATAGCTGGAAACTTCCCTAATTTGGGGAAGGAAACAGACATCAAGATCCAGGAGGCACAGAGAAACCCCCCCCAACAAAATCAATAAACACACATCGACATCATGACATACTGTAATTAAAGTTGCAAAATATAGTGATAAAGAAAATACTTTAAAAGCAGCAAGATAAAAGAAATCAATAACTTACAAGGGAAAACCCAGAAGGCAAGCAGGAGATTTTTCAGCAGAAACTTGGCAAGCCAGAAGGGAGTGGCATGATATATTCAAAGTGCTGAATGGGAAAAATCTGCAGCAGGAATACTCTATCCAGAAAGGCTATCATTCGGTTTGAAGGAGAGATAAATAGTTTCCCAGACAAACAAAAACTAAAGGAGTTCATGATCACTAAACCAGCCCTGTAAGAAATATTAAAGAGGACTCTATGAGTGGAAAGGAAAGACCAAAAGTGACAGTATCGAGGAACTCACCAAAAAAAGGATTTAAAATATAGTAATACATACCCTAAAATGCGGGGAGGAGAGAAGAACGGGTTCAAACTTAAAAAACTGCTATATGTAAAAGATGTTATATACAAATATAATGGTAATCATATATCAAAAACCACTAGTAAATATGCAGAGAATAAAGAGAAAGAAATCCAAACATATCACTAAAGAAAATGAGCAAACCGTGAAAGAAAAAGAGAGAGACAAGAAAGGATCAGGGAAAATCTCTGGAATCAACCACAAAACAAGTTAATAAAATGGCAATACCTACCTACCTACCTATTGATAATTACACTTTGAATGTAAATGGACTAAACACTCCAGTCAAAAGACAGGGTGACAGAATGGATAAAAAAGGAAGACCCATCTATATGCTGCCTACAAGAGACTCATTTTAGACCTAAAGACACCTGCAAATGGAACATGAGGGAATGTTTGTCATGCAAATGGTTGTCAAAAGAAAGCCAGAGTAGCAATACTTATATTGGGCAAAATAGACTTTAAAACAAAGACTGTAACAAGAGACAAAGAAGGACACTCTATAGTAATAAAGGAGACAATCCAACAAGAAACAATTGTAAATATTTATGTACCCTCATAAGAGCACCCAAATACACAGATAATAACAAACATAAAGGAATTGATCAATAGTAATACAATAATAGTAGGGGACTTTAACACCCCACTTACATCAACAGATCATCTAAACAGAAAATAACAAGGAAACAATGGCTTTGAAATCAAACACTGAACCAGATGGATTTAACAGATATATCTTGAACATTCCATCCTAAAACAAAACAGAATACATATTCTTTATAATTACACATGTAACAGTCTACAGAACACATCACATGAGTCCAGAAAACTAGGCCTGAATAAATTCAAGAAGATTGAAGTCATACCATGCATATCTTTTCAGACCACAATGCTATGACACTAGAAGTCAACCACAACATAAAATCTGGAAAGATCACAAATACATGGAGGTTAAAGAACATGCTACTCAACAATAAATGAGTCAACCAGGAAATCAAAGAAGAAATAAAAAAGTAATTGGGAACAAATGACAACACGATGGTCCAAAATCTTTGGGATGCACCAAAAGCAGTTCTAAGAGGGAAGTACATGGCAATACAGGCCTACCTCAACAAACAAGAGAAGTCTCAAACCTAACCTTACACCAAAAGGAGCTGGAAAAAGAACAAACAAGACCTAAAACCAGCAGAAGGAAGGAAATAATAAAGATTAGAGTAGAAATAAATGATACAGAACTAAAGAAACAACAGAACAGTTCAATGATACCATGAGCTGGTTCTTTAATCCTCTGTCAGACTGGTTTAAAAAAAAAGGCTCAAATAAAATCACATATGAGAGAGGAGAAATAACTAAAACCACAGAAATACAAAAAAATCATTAGAATGTTATGAAAAATTATATGTCAACAAACTGGACAACCTAGAAGAAATGGATAAATTCCTACAAATATATCAACTACCAAAACTGAAACAGGAAGAAACAGAAAATTTCTGATAACCAGCAAAGAAATAGAGTTAGTAATCAAAAAACTCCCAGACCTAAATGTGAGACCTGAATGTATAAAAATCCTAGAACAGAACATAGGCAGTAACCTTGAAACAGAAGTCCAGGACTGGACGTCACCTGTGAACTCTTTAAAGAAGAATGCCAGCATTACCCTGATTCCAAAACCAAAGACTCCACTAAAAAAGAGAACTACAGGCCAATATCCTTGATGAATAGAGATGCAAAAATTCTCAGTAAAAATACTAGCAATCTGATTCAACAATACATTAAAAAAAAAAAATTCACCAGGATCAAACGGGATTTATTCCCGGGTTGCAAGGGTAGTTCAACGTTCACAAATTCAGTCAATGTGATACATCACATCAATAAGAGAAGATAAGAGCATATGATCATTTTAATAGATAAAGAAACAGCACTTGACAAAGTATAATACCCATTCATGATAACCCTCAAGGGGCACCTGGGTGGCTCAGTTGTTTAAGGGTTTGACTCTTGATTTCGTCTCAGGTCATGACCTCAGGTCCTGGGATCAAGCCCTACATGGGGCTCCATGCTCAGGGAGGAGTCTGCTTGAGGATTCTCTCCATCTGGCCCATCCTGCAGCTCATGCTCTCTTAAAATAAATAAATCATAAAAAAAAAAAAATCCCTCAACAAAGTAGGCTTAGAGGGAACATACCTAAATATAATAAAGGCCATATACGAAAAACAGAGCTAACATCATCCTTAATGGGGAAAAACTAAGGATATTTCCCTTAAGGTGAGGAAGACAAGGATTCCTAATATCAACACTTCTATGGAGCATTTTACTGCAAGTCCTAGCCAGTGCACTAAATGTAAAAAAAAAAAGAAAAAAGAAACAACAAAAAAAAAAAAAAAAGAAATAAAAAGGCATCCAAATCAGTAAGGAAGAAGTGAAACTTTTACTATTTGCAGATGACATAATACTACATATAGAAAACCCTATAGACTCCACTAAAAAATGCTGGAACTGCTGTACGTATCAGTGAAGTCACAGGATACAAAATCAATGTACAGAAATCTGTTGCATTTCTATACACCAATAATGAAGCAGGAGAAAGAGAAATTAAGAAAACAATCCCATTTACAATTACACCAGAAATAACATACCTAGGAATAAACCTAACCAAAGAGGTGAGGGACCTGTACTCTGAAACCTATAAAACACCTATGAAAAAAATTCAAGATGACACAAAGAAATGGAAAGACATTCCATGCTCACAGATTGAAGAACAAATATAGCTGAAATGTCTATACTAACCAAAGCAGTCTACACATTTAATGCAATCCCTATCAGAATACCAACAGCATTTTTTTTACAGAACCAGAACAATCATAACATTTGTATGGAAACACAAAAGACCGTGAAAGCAATCTTGAAAAAGAAAAAAAAAAAGCTGGAGGCATCACAATTCTAGATTTCAAGTTATATTATGAAACTGTGGTAATCAAAAAAGTATGGCAGTGGCACAAAAACAGACACACAGATCAGTGGAACAGGGAAGAACACCCTCAATTAAACACACAACTATATGGTCAATTAATCTTCAACAAAGCAGGAAAGAACATCCAATGGGACAGACAAAGACCGTCTCTTCAACAAATGCTAATGGGAAAACTGGACAGCAACATGCAGAAGAATGAAATTGGACCATTTTCTTACACCATATACAAAAATAAATTCAAAAAGGATTGAAGACCTAAATGTGAGACCTGAATGTATAAAAATCCTAGAACAGAACATAGGCAGTAACCTCTATGACATCAGCCATAGCAACTTTTTTTCTAGATAGGTCTCCTAAGGAAAGGGAAACAAAATAAAAAACTATTGGGACTACATCAAAATAAAAAGTTTCTTGCACAGTGAAGGAAACATTCAACAAAACTGAAAGGCAACCTAGAGAACAGGAGAAGGTATTTGCAAATGACCTATCTGATAAAAGGCTACTATCCAAAAAATGTAAAGAACTCATACAACTCAATACCCAAAAAACACATAATCCATCTAAAAAATGGGCAGAAGACATTTCTCCAAAGAAGATATACAGATGGCCAAAAGATACAAGCAAAGATGTTCATCATCAATTACCATAAAGGAAATGCAAATCAAAACAAATAATAAACAAAAGGTGTTGTTGAGGATGTGCAGAAAAAGGAACACTCATGCATTGTTGGTGGGGATGCAAACTGGTGCAGCCAACTGTGGGAAACAGTATGGAGGTTCCTCAGAAAGTTAAGAATAGAACTACCCTATGATCCAGCAATTGCACTAGTAGGTATTTACCCAAAGAATACAAAAACACTAATTCAAAGGGATACATGCATTATAGCAGCATTATTTACAATAGCCAAGATATGGACTGATGAATGGATGAAGAAGTGGTGGCCTATACATACAATGGAATATCATTCAACCATAAAAAAGAATGAAATGTTGCCATTTTCAAGGACATGGATAGACCTAGAGAGTATAATGCTAAGCAAAGTAAGTCAGAGAAAGACAAATACCATATGATTTCACTCCTATGTGGAATTTAAGAAACAACAAACAAGCTATGGGGGAAAAAAGAGAGTGACAAACCAAGAAACAAATTCTTAATTATACAGAACAAACTGATCATTACCACAGGGGAGGGGGTCAGGGATGTGTTATATAGGTAACTGGGATTAAAGAGTGTACTTGTCCTTAGTACTGGGTGATGTATGGAATTGTTGAATCAGTTTATTGTACAACTGAAACTAATATAACACTGTATGTTAACTGGAATTTTAAAAAACCTTAAAAATATACAAAAATGAAAGAAAATAATAAAAATAAAAATTTAGAAAAATATATTAAATATGTAATCAGAAAAACAGCACTGTCCAATAGAAATAAGTGAGCCACATATATAATTTTAAATTTTCTAGTAGCCACATTAAAAAGTAAAAACAGATAATTTTTAATATACTGCTTAACCCAATATAGTCAAATTTTTATTTCAAGATATAATCATATATAAAAATTATTGAGCTTACATTTTTATACTCAGGATTTTTAAAAACAGGTATCTATATGAAATATACTTAGAGTACATCTCAATTCAGACATTAAATTTTTTTTTTTAAAGATTTTATTTATTTATTTGACAGAGAGAGACGCAGCTAGAGAGGGAGCACAAGCAAGGGGAGTGGGAGAGGGAGAAGCAGGCTTCCCGCAGAGCGGGGAGCCCGATGCGGGGCTCGATCCCAGGACCCTGGGATCATGACCTGAGCCGAAGGCAGACGCTTAACGACTGAGCCACCCAAGCGCCCCAGACGTTAAATTTTCATAAAAATAACTGACCTACATTTATTTCATACAATTTAGTTGAAAAAAAAATACATTCACATACCAAAGTTGTTCTAAACATACTTAAAAGCCTTCTAACTATACAGAATAACAGTAGTTATATAAAAATTAAGAATTCAGTTTTTTTCATCCAATCTATCACCCCATCTTAACTACATCTTTAACAACCCTATTTCCAAATAAAGTCACATTTTGAGGTGCTGGGGGGGGGAGTTAATGCTTCAACACAGTATTTTTTTTGTGTGGTGGGGAGACAAATCAACCCAATATACCCTCCCCCTTACAAGAGGAAATAAAGAAAAAAAAAGAGCAAGTGGGAAGATAGAAAAGGAAGGAAGGAGGGAGGGAGAGCAAAAGAAGAAAAAAAATCCAATTTTTTTAGTTATACTGGCCACATTACAAGTGTTCAACAGTCAACACGTGGCTAGTGGCTACCATATTGAACAGTGTGGTTCTAAAGTGTTCCACAACCACTTGAAACAATCATTTGTCATTTTTAACAGTGAAATTAAACTTCTGAAAAATAAGCATACAAAAATTAAGAGTCCCGCATACCCTTCAATACAGTAATTTCTAGGAATTTTCCATTTGCATAAAACTATATAAAAAGATACTCATATTTCAAAATAGTATGTTAGGAAACTTAATAGGGAATGGTTATTCACAGACCCTTTACGTGGCACTTAATGTTAAGAAAAAAGAGATCTATAAAATATTATCTCTAAGATAGATAATCATAACTACGCTAATAAAATGTATCCCTAGGGAAAAAGATTAGGCATATAGTTCCAAAATATTGTTTATTTGTGGTACAAATGTAAGTGATTCTTTTTACTACAACTTGTAATTTTTACCATTGTGTATATACATTTTATAGAGAAACTGAGAATAATTTTAAAATAAAAATGAAAGGAAAAAAATTGAGGACTAAAGACAATAGAGCTAACTTAATAGTCACAACAGACCTATAAAGACATAGAGATAAAACTTAAGAGAATTAATGACTAAGATTTTAGTTTCTTGGAGTTACCTGATCTTTTTCCGCCCTGGGTCGTACCTGCCTTCTCATCCTTTGGAACCAGTTTCTGCATGTCTGCCTGGCCAAATTCACACCCAGATGGTAGGCTGCAACAAGACAAACCATGAGTAAAAAGAACCCTGATAGCTCATTTCTTAAGTTGTGCTTGGTCCCTAATCTGCTTGGCTGACAATATCCCTCCTATAACAGGGAAGTGAACCTAATAAAACATGTATAATGATCAAATTCCTGAGGTAGCACTCAACAAGATTTCCAACTCAACTTTAGATTTGGCTAGCAAATTTTAAACACCTATCATGCTGACACAGAATTAGGACATAAGATCAAAGATGCAGAAGATAACAAACACTGTAAGCATGTCCCTAGGCTGGTAAATGGGAAGGACAATACTGTGGAGTGAAAGTTTGTGTCCCCTCAAAATTCGTTTGTTGTTGAAATCCTAATGACCAACGTGATAGTATTAGTAGGTAAGGCCTTTGGGAAGTGCTTAAGTCTTGAGGGTAGAACCTTCATGAATGGGACTACTGTTTCATAAAAGATGCTCCAGAAACATTCCTAGTCCCTTCCACTATGTGAGGATACAATGAAAAATCTGCAACCCAGAAAAGGACCCTCACCCAACCATGCTAGCTAGCACCATAGTCTCAGACTTCCAGAACTATGAGCAATAAATTTCTGCTGTTCATAAGGATCCAGTCTGTGATATTTTGTGATAGCAGCCTGAATAGATTAAGATAGACAAGGAGCCCTCTGAACTCTTTAGTAATAGCCTTCTGTTCTTGACCAAAGCAATCCTCCAGGATCACTGAACTTAGTCCTAAGAAAGACAACAGAGATAATAAAGAGATGACCATTCCCTTACCTGTTTGGGGTACACAGGGAGAGAAGGACTGTGCTTTCCCACACCAGGGAACAGTATAACTGGCTCAGCTTGCTCAGAACACTCAGACCCAACTGAGAGCCCCACTGGTTTACGGAGATGGAACGAATTTCACTCTGCAATCAAAGTAAACAGAAGCTGATCTTTGGGATGCCCTCTGCAACATTTACAGTCTGTATCTAACATCCCTTCTCATTGTTTTTTTGTAAAGCGAAAGGCAATGGTCATAGGCAACTCTTTCTAAAGAAACAGCTTTGCAGATTCATTGACAGCCTTGTAATTTTGTTAGGTGGTACAGGACTTGCTATTTCCCTTATTTCTTAACTTCAATAAATATTTAGATTTATCTAATTCCTTGAGGTGAACATCTCACCTTCATTTAATAAAAAGTCATAAAAATAAATCCCAAACCTATGTTATGTAATTGAATTATTTTCTAAATAGTTTATATCCGTGCTTTTCATTTGATTTGATACAAAGAATATACTCCTGGCTCAACAGCATAAAACAAGGGTGTTAAAACATTACATCATTAATCTTTAGAACTGATTACTTGAGGACTAAAAGTTGTAAAACTGTGAGCACACACACAACCGCCCCCCACTCCCATCCTTCTGGCACCACAAGAGGAACCTCACATGGATTGCAGGCATAGGGTTTGATATTTAGGTAATCTTTACTAATCTCTGTTAATTACCATTGACTTAATGTACTATGGTCGAATTTCCTTCCTGCCATCTCATTATCAGGCCTACATGCATTTGTACAAAGATTAGGAAGTAATAAGGCCAGATGAGCACCCAATTCAGGCTTGCCCACTAAAAAAGGTGACTATATATCCCAGTTGGCCTATGTGGCTGCTACAGATCTAATTAATGCCTGTTATTTTTTTAAAAAGATTTCATTTGATTGAGAGAGAGTGAGAGAGAACAGAGGGAGAGTGAGAGGGAGAAGCAGACTCCTCACTGAGCAGAGTCTGATGTGGGGCTCGATCCCAGGACCCTGAGGATCATGACTTGAGCCGAAGGCAGATGCTTAACCGACTGAGCCACCCAGGTATCCCTATTAATGCCTATTATTTATAATAACCTAATAAAACATGTGCAATGATCAAATTCCTGAGGTAGCACTCAACAAGGTTTCCAACTCAACTTTCACTCTCAAGAAAGTCTAGTTCACAAAACAAATTATGTGGTCACCCAAATTCTAATAAAAAAAAAACAAAACTAAGGGAAAATGAAACTAGATAGCACCTTTTTAAAAAAAATTTTTTTTTTTTTATAAAGATTTTATTTATTTATTTGAGAGAGAGATAGACAGAAGAGCACAAGCAGAGGGAGTGGCAGAGGGAGAAGCAGGCTCTGCACTGAGCAGGGAACCCGATGCGGGACTCGATCCCAGGACCCCGAGATCATGACCTGAGCCGAAGGCAGACGCTTAACCATCTGAACCACCCAGGCGCCCTAAAAATTTTTGATGTAGTGTTCCATGATTCATTGTTTGCATATAACACCCAGTGCTCCATTCAATACTAGATAGCATCTTGAAGCATAAACCTGCATCCCCCACCAAAAGAAAAATCTGTTCTTTGTAGCAGCTAGCCCAGGTAGAACTGCTTTTTTTTTTTTTTGAAGATTTTATTTATTTATTTGACAGAGAGAGACATAGTGAGAGCAGGAACACAAGCAGGGGGAGTAGGAGAGGGAGAAGCAGGCTTCCCGCGGAGCAGGGAGCCTGATGTGGGACTCGATCCCAGGACCCTGGGATCATGACCTGAGCCGAAGGCAGACACTTAACGACTGAGCCACCCAGGCGCCCTAGAACTGCTTCTAATAAGCATAGTTAAGATGCCTGGTATGTGCCCTATGTATTTTGCCAGCTTTAAACTAACTTGTTCACCCCCAATTCTTACCTGTCCAACTCTGCAAGTATGAACAAACATCATGATGTAGGCATGGGCAGCAGTGAGTGCATGCAGTAGAGGTGTGGCCTGAGCTGAGAGGGTAGCATCAGCAACATTGCCAGCACAAGCCAGTTCTCGCAATAACACTGAGCCTCCAGGGGATTCAATTGGGCGGTGTAAGGGCTCCAAGGATGAAAGGATGGAGTCCAACTGAAGGAGACCCTCCTGAAGGACTTTGGGTTCATGTGACAGTGTCTGAAACAAGAATAATAATTAAAGCATTAATGTACAATGAACTTCACGTACATCATGTCTTTAATAGTCACAATGGAAGAAGTAGAAGACAAGTGTCACAAATTTCGAACCTGGCCATGGTAATCCCATCTGGTAAATGGTAGAGCCAAAATATGAATGCAAGTAGGACATACCCCAATGCCTCCTTTTAGAGCAACACTTTACTTCTCTCAAGTGAGAGGCTTTCAAATGTGGTAAGTCAATCATTTAAAAGCCTGTGATGGCCAAACTGAAATACTATTATAGCAAGGACTCCATACTATAAGATTAATTGTAAATTTTACTCAACAGGGAGCAATATTAGGTAAGGTTCCAAAGCATGGAAGTGAACCAGTATTACAACTGTTTTTTTCTTCCTAAAATAGAGATGATTCTAGAATAGGCATCAGGTAGGCAATTTCCTTTTTTATAAGACAACTCAAGGATTATAGGACATGGCCTTTATAATTGTTTTTTGAGTCTGCAGAAAAATCTCACAGTAAAATACTATCACTTGCCTTTCAAAGATAGGAGAAATTATGTGCCTTTCCTGAGGCTTTAAATAAATCTATCCATTCTCACACAGTATCTTAGAGGCAGGGTAACGATGAAGCACAGCCTCTTTTACTCTCTCATAAACAGCACTTAATATTGCAAAGGGTAAAGCAAAATAAAACATTAAATACAGGTATGTCACAATTACGGACTTTCCAAATGCAACTGGATTACTGATTTTTAGCAGAAATTACTTATCACTGCCCAATCCAGCTCTAATGAAGCAGCTTCACAGATTTAATGCAATCCCTAATAAAATTATCAATGGCTTGGGGGGGAGGGAAGAAATAGAAAGATCTCTCTTAAAATTTGTAAAAGAATCTCAAGGGACCCCAAATAGGTATAACTATCTTGAAAAAGAACAAAGTTGGAGGTCTCACACTTCCTGATTTCCAAGCTTATTACAAAGCTACAGTAATAAAAAAAAAATGTGGTACTGGCATAAAGATAGACATTAAGAACAATAGAATATAATAAAACCCCAAAACAAAGACTTGCATCTATGGTCAAAATATTTTTAGCAAGGGTGCCAAGACATAGGTGCAACAGGGAAAGAACAGTCTTTTCAACAAATGGTGTTGGGAAAACTGGATATCCACATGCCAAAGAACGAAGTTGGACTTTACCTTATACCATATAAAAAAATTACTCCAAATAGATCAAAGACCTAAATGTAAGAACTAAAGCTATAAAAACATGTAGAAGAAGCCACAGGGTAAAAGCTGTATGACACTGGATTTGGCAATGATTTCTTGGATTTGATACCAAGAGCACAGCAACAGCAGTAAAAAAAGATAAAATGGACTTCATCAGAATTAAAACCTTTTGTTCATCAAAGGGCACTATTAACAGAGGTAAAGGCAAACCACAGAACAGGAGAAAATATTTGTAAATTATTTATCTGATAAGGAATTAATATCCAGAACATAAAGAACTCCTACAACTCAACAACAAAAAACAAACCCCACTAAAAAATGGGCAAAGGACTTGAATAGACATCTCTCCAAAGATACACAAATAGCCAGTAAGCACATAAAAAGATGCTCAACATCATTAATCATTAGAAGATGCAAATCGAAACCATGCGCTCTCTTCACACGTATTAGGTTGGCTACTATCAATTAAAAAAAAAAGAAAAAGAAAATAAGTGTTGGTGAAGATGCAGAGAAATTGGAACCCTTGGGCACTGCTGATTGGAATGATGTGAAATGATGGAGCTGCTATGGAAAACAGTATGGTGGTTCCCTGGGGGGGGGGAGGGGGCGAAAAGAGCTACCATATAATCCAGCAATTCTACTTCTGAGTATACAACTAAAAGAACTGAAAGGAGTCTTGGGTATGCTCATACTTTTATATGGAATCTAAAGAAGTCAAATTCATAAAACCAGAGAGAATGATGGTTGCCCGGGGCTGGGGGGAAATGTGGAGATGTTGGTCAAAGGGCAAACTTTCAGTTATGAGTAAGTTGTGGGGATCTAATATACAGCTTGGTGTCTATAGTTAATACTATATTGTGTACTTGAAATCTGCTGACAGTAGATCCTTAAGCGTGCTTACTACACACACACACACACACAAAGTAGTCTTGAAAAAGTATTTGCACACCCGCGTTCATAGCAGCACTATTCAAAATAACCAAGAGATGGAAGCAACCCCATGGTCTATCAATGAATGAATGGATAAACAAAATGTGGCTTGTACATACAGTAAGAGTCATAAAAAGGAAGGAAATTTTGACATATGCTACAACACGGGTGAATCTTGAAGACATTATGCTAAGCAAAATAAGCCAATCAAAGAAAGACAAATACCTTATGAATTACATTTATATGAGCTACCTGGAACAGTCAAATTCAGAGAGACAGAAAGCAGAACAATGTTTACCAGGGGCTGGGAGGGAGAGAGGAATGTAGAGTTGTTGTTTAATGAGTATAGAATTTCAGTTTTGCAAGATGAAAAACTTCTGGAGATTGGTAGTGCAACAATGTCAATGTACTTAGGACTACTGAACTATACACTTAAAAATGGTTAAAAAGGTAAACATCATTTGATGTGTATTTTACCACTATTAGTAAATAAAGCACTTAATTTTTTGATAAAATTTGAGCAATAAACTAATAGGTCAATTATGCTTAAAATGCAGGACTATCAAGCTTGAAAAAGGAAAAAAGCTGTATGACTAAACAATACCAGATTGTGTTAAAAAGCATCCATGAGAGGATGACACAATAAAATAAACCCAGTTCCAAAACTTTCTTCATCTACTATCCCTTCTAATAAACTCAAATGTTTGAACTATATACCAAACCTAGGAACAATGAACAAACACTTCAACTTTTCAATGAGAAATAATGTGACACACTATTTATTAGTCACTTGATTCACTTGTAGTACATAACCACAGATTTCTTCATTATTTTTTAGTTGAAAGTAAAGGGAGACCACAGTAAAAACATGTATACAGAAGTATTGCAAAACTGTTCCTAAAAAGGAATGAAAGTATTTGGCCAGAAGCTCTTACCAATATGGATTTGCAGACACCTGCAACAGCCTGACAAGCCGCAGATGTGGGAAAGTCAATGGGCAGATTGGGAAGACCCAAAATGGTAACCAAAGGCAAGAGTCCTTTCTGATTCACAAATTCCTGGCAGTGGTCATCTGTTGTATTGTTGCTCAGAATAGATTCCACAAATTTCATCTAGGTAATGAAAATTAAAAAAAAAAAAGTTAGAGCCTGACACCTGGAACTAAAAGGCCAGCTTGGAATAAGGACAGGGGTAGCCCTGTAGTCATGAAATCAGTATTTTCTGGAATACCAAAACCTCAAGTAAATAGGGACAGAGATACGATATGGACCCTAAACATAAAAACAAAAACAAAAACACCACACATCAATAATTACTTCTTCCCAATCTACCTTTTTGGCCACATCTGAAGTCACATAATTTGCGAGAATAGAGAGGATAAATGACTTGCTCAGGGCCACACCCATGAATTAGTGGCAAAATCAGATCTGATCTCTTAATTTGCTTCTTGCATGATAGTGTGTTGCCTCTCCCCGTAAGCAAAAATGGATACTTTCCCTCAATGTGTTCATAAGGCAAATGAAAGCCAGAACTCTAGAAGAGTGATTTGGACCAAACAAAGCATTTTTTTAAGGGAAGAAAGTAAAATGTGGTCAAGAAACACACAGGCACAAGAGAAACCATCTCTGGAAGTCTTGGACGTGCTCAGTGGGCTAGAACAATTGCTACGTGGGCTTCCCCTTATAGAGAAACAATTCTGGGAAAAGTCAAACTCTTCCCTTTTCTCTTGTGAAACACATGGGAAGTTAAAAGAAATAACCATATTACTATTTTTTTAATATAAAAGAGAAGTAAATGGGAAAAATAGCAAGTAATGGGAAAAAATACATGTTGGACACATTCAAAGAACATAATACTGGGTTGTCCTAACAAAGCCCACTCTTTTGTTTGGATTCCAATGGTGAATAGTAACAATGAACAGAAAATTGGGAGTATCTAAAAAAAGGGAAGAGTGTTGTCCAATTTTTGGCAAACCAGTCTCATAGAACAAGGTTTGCACATCTTTCCCCACTGATCCACACTTTAAGGGTCCCAATGAAAATAAACGTGGAAATCACTAAACTATTTGGTAATCCCACACATTTTCCAGAAAAACACACACCTTTACTCAGTTTGCCCTACCATGAATCTTACCACATTAAGGATGTAATCCATGAGGGGAATAGGAATACGTTCCTCTGTACCAACAACCCTGTTAAGGGAGAAAAGAGTGAGTTACACACAAATTCACAATACCAGTGCAAGAGAACAAAGTGAGGAAAGGGAAATAGCATGAAATTCTAGGTCCTTTCTCTAAGTCAGACTTCTAGTCTTTAATACAGCACAGGAAAAAAAAAAAAAAAGAGCTGAAATCAATTCTGAAATTAGCTTTTCTAGCCTGACAGGTTGAGAGCACAAAAGGAAAAACCAAGCCTTCACAAACTCAGCATTTACACATACCTCAAAAGAAACTCCTATCTTAGGCAAACTATCATTGGAGGAATTCATCAATATGAAAATACTAAAAAGTCAGTCAGTCTGATTAAGAGACTACTGAAACATTTGCTTGAAGACAAGAGCTAGACAAAGAAACAAATACAATAAACATCTTACCATGTTCTTGCATCAGGTTTAAAGTTATAATAGAGAGCAGGAAATGGAATTTAATTTTGTTCAAAATTCATGTTTAAGATTGACAAACCATTCAGAACAAAGTTAATCAAAGATGAAGCCAACACCCAAGGCCTCCTTTCCTAATAATTAATACTTGTATCACAACAGTCCCTGAACTATCCAAAAACTGATCAGGTCTTTTGCTTCAGATACTTGAATGCTGCACTGCAGATGAGAAGGCTGTAGTAATGCCAGAGCTGCAGAAAATGTAGCACTTAGCCCCGTCTTGGCTTTTCCAAGAAATAAACAGAGGAAAGAAAACCCACAAAATATATTAAAATGAAACAAAATCTACCTCAAGATAAACCCTAGGAAGCAACAAAACTTGAGTCTAATAAGGAGCATTCTGGATATAGGCCCTTGAAGACATTTGGGGGGAAGGGGCAGAAATAAAAGGGAGAAGTAGGAGGAGAGAGAAAGCAAGAGAATTCACAAGAAGTTAACAGTCCTTGTCTCTGAGCAAGATAAGATGTAAATAAAGATTTGCCAGGTAAGAGGGCACTGACAGCAAAATGGAGACTAGACCTAGTGGAGAGGCATCATAAATGGCTTCAGTGATGAAATATCCAGAGCTAGGGTTTGGCAAGGATATTGTGAACACTCTCAATGAAGAATTTAGGGAAGAACTCTGTACACAAAGGCAGGACCTATAAGCCAGGAGTGGAATGATTCCATGGCAAGACTGCAATATTGCCAATTGTTCCTTGTTGTTCCTTCTCAGAACCACTGCAACATTCCCTGCTACTTACGTCAATCATCTACCCCAGCTTCGTTGCACCTCCTCGGAAAGAACCCAGAAATCCATCTCTACAGCTAGGGAGTGCAGGTGTGGCTCTAGACCAAATTAAACACTTGTCCCTTTGTAGAAACCAAAGAGCCAAAGTAGTATCATGAAATGGGACCAAGGTACTTCCTTCATTTGCTAGATAGAAGTTAGGGAGAACGAGAGAGAAAACAAACCAACAGTTTCTTAATCCAAATCTAGGAACAAATTTGTTCAATAACCACTTTTTCATTATCCTCATCTTTTGGTTTCCAGGCTCAGAACATCATACAGGAATAGTACATATGATAAACTCTCCCTAGCAGAAATCCCCCTATCAACTGGTTTTAAGAAAAACTGTAATCTTAACTTCATATGAAACTTTGACCCACAGCATCTTTGAAACAGTTAAGACTGCATTCCCATGATGAATAAAACAATTTACCTTAACTGTCAAATTAAAACATTCCTGTCTCCCCTTTCACTAAAACACACATATTCCCAGACTCAATTTTACATGTGTATTTATGGTACTAGAGCCCTTAATCAGAAGTACAGGAGAAAGATTCCAATTGAGTGTCATAGTACAGTGTATAGAACAACAGGTCTCATGGAATTTTTGTGGTGTGGGGTGTGGGGGATGTCTTTCTTCCAGCTCTTGAGGAGACACAGCTGCCTTTGGCAAAGGAGTCCTCCCAGTGAACTAAAACTCAGGAAACAACTGCTTTTCTACATTTGCTGCCTTTAAAGCCCAGACACTTGCTATTCAAGTTCTAAAGACCACATGGATTTATATATCCCATTTCTTTCAAGTTTTTCAGGATAGGCAGTTAAGTTAGGCAAAGTAAATTGAATCCACCTCAAAATAAACCACTGTGCCTCAACTAAAAGCCCTGGTTACTCATTGGCAAGTATATTCATCCCCAGAAGTATCAGTTTTACTGACATCAAACAGTTTAGAAGGCAGAAGAGAGAGGCCAAAACACAAGTATTTAGAGTTACTTGTGAATGTCTCTGGATGTAGAACAAAACTCCATGTATTTGGGGTAGACTGTAGTGCCTGAATTTCCTTATTCCAGATTGAGCACAAAACCACGTCTCAAGATCATATATAAACACCATTTTCAAATACAAGCTGATTTTAGGAAAAATAGTTTTAGCCTGGAAAAACCTGGAAACTCAAAAATCCATCCACGGGAGTGGATTCATTCAATGAAACACTACTCAGCAATGAAAAGGAACAACCGATAGATGCAACAACATGGATGAATCTCAAAAACACGTTGAACAACAGAAGCCAGATACAAGAAAGTACATATATCAGATATGATACACACATAGGACCCATCTATTGTATTTTTAGGATATTCTGGAATAGGCAAATTTATTCAATGATGATTAAAGTAAGTAGGGGCGCCTGGCTGGCACAGTAGGTTAAGCGTCCAACTCTTGGTTTTGGCTCAGGTCATGATCTCAGGGTTGTGAGATCGAGCCCCGTGTTGGGCTCTGCATTCAATGGGGAATCTACTTGAGGATTCTCTCCCTCTGCCCACCCCCTGGCAATGTGCACTCTCTCTAAAATAAATAAATCTTAAAAAAAAAAAAAAAAAAAAAAGAAAGAAAGAAGTAGCTGCCTCGCTTTAGGGTAGAGAAATAGGAATCTCAAGATCTGTGTAGTTTATAGAAATTAAACCTCAATAAAAAACATTGGAAAAAATTTACTTATGTGTTTATTTAAGGCACTGGACAACAGATGAGGACATGAGAGACTGAATTCGTTTGGGAGTCCCACTGAAGAATTTTGCATTGGAGGGGGAGTTGGGGGATACAAATAAGACTTCTGGAGAGAGAGGATGGCACACACTGTCAATTTTTGTAAGCCTCTTCCCATACTGGCACAAAGTAACTCCCACCATAACTACCACCTCGGATAAGGAGATAAAAGAACTCCCTTTAATATACTGTGGCTTTCGAGATGAAGGTTGAGTTTAGGCAGTTTCCTGCTTTTCCTTCCAGCCTTAATAATCCACAGAGTGACCCAATCAAGGCTTCTGAAGGTGGTAGAAGTGGGAAAGTGTATGTGTCAATATATGTGAGACTCTTAGGTATGTTATGTGAATGAGGTAGCGATGAACACCCAGACCATGCAGAGTATAGGAAAACATCAATACCATGGAGTACCAAGTACTAGGATCCTCTGTAGCTTTAGAAGCTACATATGACTAACTCTATGGTAGAGTATTAATGCTGTGGGTGCCTACATTTTTACTATGTCTTCATTCTCATTCATGTTTCATTAGGACCCACCTCTCTTGGCATTTAAGGCTCAGGAAATCATTTCTTCATCTAATGCTCTTGAGTTATTCCATCAAAGCACCAAACGAACATTTACTGACCGATTATCTGCTACATACAAAGTAATTAGGATACACTGCTGTCAAATGCTCTACGCCCTGAGCTATACCCCCATAATTAGGATATACTGTAAAATGAGACATTGTCCCTGCCCTGGTGGAGCATACAGATTAATGGGAGAAACCATCACAATATATGAATAATTCTAACAACACTTTTGGAAGAACACAAAAGACTGACTTCCCGTTTGGAGGTAAAAGGAAAAGCTCCTTTAAGAATGTGACATTTGAGCTGGCTTTGCAGGAATTTGGTAGATAGAAAAGGAGATAAGATAATTTGGGGTTGGGGGGACAAATATGGATAGAACACAGTGACACATATCCCAAGAAAAGCATGGAGTGAAAAAATACAAGGGTGTGAGAAAACGTCAATTTACTATGACAGCTTAAAATCTGGGCACATTAGATCTAAGGTGTCTGTAATATATTCAGGTAGAGAAAAAGTTATATGCAGATGAACATGCACAGCCTCACTCAAAGCCACCCTCCCACTCATCAAGTTTAAGAAATCCTTCCCTTGTCTTGTAGTCAGGAAAGGAAACCATATCCCAGCAGGGTGGCTGACAATCAAGGGTGTGGCAAGTAAGCACAGATTCTGACTCCTCTGCATATAAAGTCTTGCTTTCTTTCAGGCGTCTTCCTTTTCCGGAAAGAGAACATTTTAATCAAATCAAAATAGAAGATGCTGCTAGAATGAAGGTAGAGTTGCCATCTCAGACAAGGTTAAGACATCTGCTCAACAAAGCAACGTATTTAGTAGTTAATGCATCTCCTCAAAAAAAAAAAAAAAGAAAAAAGAAAAAAAGAAACCCTCCAAACAAACCTCATACCAACAGGCTCATCACTTCCTAGAGCTCCAAGATGGCACACCAGTTTTGGAGTCTAGGCCTTTGCTCCTTCTATGTATTCTGCCATAATTTTCTCAAGTTCCAAGCCATCCTTCAAGACCAGCCCAAACCCAATCATATCCACACCTAAAACATTCCTGCTTTTCTCAGAACTAGTTATCTATAAACCAAAAGAACACTTATTAAATGGATAAATGCGTGACAGTTCAGAGGGATCACACCCTCTTCTAGCATGAATGTGATTAAGAGTTACAGCTACAAGTTACGTTTCATCCCTTGCATGTGAACAATATAAGCTCAAAGAGCCTGGTAGACTATCCACTACCAGCCAGCAGTCTTTAAGCCAATCCCCATTTCACCATCCAGGTAGTCAATTTTTATGTAAAAACAAAACTTAAATAAATAATCTACTGTGCCCGGTTATAATCATATAGTACATTCCAAAGACTTCTAATTTATCTAGAATAAACTGATAGTAATCAAACAAAAGCAAAGACCAACCAACAACAAATCCCTGTAATTTTTAAAGACTTAGGAAATAGGCTTCAAAAGTGCAACGTTTCATTACGTATTCACTTATGGAAACAATCAAGCAATGATGCAAATACCAAATCAACAATGGGGAAAAGTCCTCTGAGAAAAGCCCATCAACTTGATATAGTGAACTGATTCAATTCCATCAACAAATTTTAAAGAAAGACACCTTGCTGAGGCAACCAATACAATTAAATATGAAAGCATAAATGACACACAATGGTCAAAGAAAGAAAAAACTAGACTCTTAGGGCTTGAAGAACCTTATAATGAACCAACACCCTCACTTTTATGGACGAAAATGACATGCCTAAGATCACAAGACTAGGGAACCTGTCTTGCGAACACTTACTGCTGATTAGGCTCGGTTTCATTCTGTTGGGTAGAATTAAAGCTCTGCATGGCCTGTACTTCTTCTTCCTCCTCATCCTCACTAGAGGCCTCTTCTGCAGCATGATTAGACCTTGGAGGAGGAGCAGTGGCAGTGCCATCTGCCTTCTGGATTGATGGCTTCTGACAGATGTATTTAGGGTCTCTTCCAAGATTACAGATTTCTTCAAGTAACTGAAAGACACAGGAAATAGGATTATTTATTAGTAAATAAGAAATGGGAGACAACTAACATTTTTGGAGCATTTTCTATGTGTTATACACAGAATTGCCAAAACACTTTATACACATGTACGTATGTATGTATGTATGTATGTATCATACATCACTCTTGGAATATAGTCCTCAATCCTATTTTACAAACAAGGGAACTGAAGTTCTCAAGTTAAATAACTTGTTCAGGGTCACATAGATGTTAAGTGACTGCATGACTAATCTGACTCATGTCCTAATTCACAAGCACCAGGAACTCATACACTATATACAGGCAATTGGCAGGGATACTAAATGTGAAAAAAAAAAATCAAGAAACAAAGATTAGAAAAAGTAATACGCTTTTACAAATAGAAGCTAAATCCTGGCAACTTGTTAATATCCTATAGAAGAAAGCAATACTTGTTACTTTTTGGGGGAGGGGGACAAAGGACCAACCCAAGGACATGGAGAAAATAAAGTAGACATAATCCTCTTCTAGGCCTAGCCCAAGAATCCAAATGACCTCCAGTAGGCCAAGTTTTTTTTTTCTTAAAAACCCCCTTAACTGCTCTCTCATGCCCATGGTCAACCTTATCACTTCCCACCTTGATGATCGCAGTCGTTGCATCTGTTTTGAGGGTGGGCTGATGTCTCATGAGCTCATCAACAGCACTCCCCAGGTTAGATGCAGTATCCCCTTAAAGCAAAAAACGAACTGTTAGAAAGACTGAAGAAAATAGAATTTGAGCTATCTTCTCTGCCAATGAGGAGGAAAGAAGAAACTGAGCTGGTGGTTGTGATTTTTTTAATGTCATGCTTTCTCAAATGAATTCACACCAACTTCTGAAAGCAAGTCATTGGGGAGGAAGAAGAAAACCTCACCAGCCTATTGAGCATATTTTATTTTTTTTTAAAGATTTTATTTATTTATTTGACAGAGAGAGACACAGCGAGAGAGGGAACACAAGCAGGGGGAGTGGGAGAGGGAGAAGCAGCTCCCTGCAGAGCAGGGAGCCCGACGCGGGACTCGATCCCAGGACCCTGGGATCATGACCTGAGCCGAAGGCAGTCGCTTAACCAACTGAGCCACCCAGGCGCCCCTATTGAGCATATTTTAAAATAACCGCGTATACTACATTCTACCCTGGCAATCTCTACTGCCAAGGTCTGAAGTAGTATTGTAAAGAGAGAGAGAAAAGAAAGAAGCATAAACCATTAATCCTCTGGCTGCCCCAATAGAGAATGACAATGGCTAGAATGCTACAGTGGTGGCTGAAAGGACAAAGCACGCCTGTGAAAACTGGATTCTTTCTGGAGCCCTACCTTCTCACTATTCCTCAATAATCTGGTCTCAAATACACTGAGAAGGAAATCTATTCATTTGTGACTATTTTGGGGACTTGGATATTAGAACAGAAGATTACTAAGATCAATAGCTCAGGACTTCGTATCTCTTGTTGCTACTCCTGGAAATATACTGCCCCTAATACCCGTTTCTCACTAGCACCATGACAGTACATCTAACAACAAACTGTTGTTGACAGTCCGAGGAGCACCACCCCTTATTTGCCGACATCCAAAGGTCACTGGGCGCAAGTCCTTAGTCTCTCTCAAGCTCTGGCCACTGAGGCGTCAAAGTGACATTCTGTGGAATGGTGACAGGTGGGAATTTGGACTCCCAAGGACCCTTTTCCCCTTGTGCCAGACCCTGAACCCTAGGTGAACTTGCCCCCAAGATCTCCACTGGATAATTCCTGCTCCCATGGGTAATCCCACTGAGGTAGCGGTGTAGTGTAGGTCCCACCTCCTGGGAATCCACATGGGAATCCTGCCCTAACCCAAGAGGAGGGGGCACAGCCTCTGTGAGTCACTCTGCTACAGTTTAGCTTCTGACCCGCCCAAATGCTACAGCCAATTGGAGCGTGAGGGCATGGCCTGGAGGTACTGCCTGAAGATCTGGAGCCACTCAGGGCACCTGGGACGTGATCTAGTCCCTTCGGTGGCCCAGGAAGGGCAAGGGCAAGGTTTCTATGGCCAAAGTTTGGTTTTCCCAACACCTGTACAAATTTGGATTAAAACTTTGAACTTTTGAAAACACACACACACACACAAATGAACTGTTGAGAAGCATGAAAATATTATGGGCAGAGGATAAGGGTGAAGTATTCTTTTTACCTGCAATACAATGTATATAGTGCTACAGTGATAACTATAGTGATAATTCCCATTAAGCTTAGCACACCTAGCCAGAGAAATGATGTGAGGTCAAGAAAGGGTTTTCTTACCAATTGGTGCCTTGATAATCATCTAAAATCTTGGCACAACAGTAAACCAATTATTTTAAGATAAATCCTGGTGACTTACCAAGAGGATCAGAACTCCTCCTCCTTCGCATGGCTGGGAGGTAATCTGGAGACAGAAGAACTTTGAAAAGACGTTCAAAAGGCTGACACTGTACAAATGATTGAAGACCTCGGGCATTCAAGCAGAGTGCACTGAATACATTTGGGAGGGAGCCAAGGACTTCACGGGTAGCAGGAACCTAGAAAGAAGATCAAGTGAGTTTGAAGACCTCTGAAAGTGTTCAGGTGTAGATGCCACGAAACTTTGACCAGGGTACTGCAGAGAGAGTGAGTAGGGGAGGGATATATTGTGGGGAGGGGTATGCAAAGAGCATTCTTTACAGAGAAGCAGTAAAGGACTCACATCTTTGATAAGCAGTGCATGAAGCATGACATCTGTTAATCCATTGTCCTGGAGTGAGGATAGCAGTGATGGTTCTTGAAATACAAACACAGTCACCACTTCAGTAGCTAAAAAAGATGAGAAATAGGAGAAATTGAGAGATTCTTCACAGGTATTAACAATAAAATTCCAAAGGCTGAAAAAAAACATACTCTATGTACAACAATTTAAATACTTGTACTTACTCTGAAATGAACGCCCCTAATACTGCTTCATCAGAAGGTCACTATTAAGAATTAGGTGACAAACTTTCAAGATTTTTATGGGCAATGTACAGGTATAATGATAATTAATAATACCATATTGAATACTGAAAAATATACCAAGAGAGTAGATTTCAGTGCTTTTATCAAGTGAAAAAAAGGTAACTATATGAGATGATTTGTTAATTAGCTTGATTATAGAAATCATTTCACTACATACACCAGATCATGTTCCACTAAATAGATGAACCACCGTGGATATAAACCAGTCCAAAATTATGAGAACCGATAAACCTAAAAACACATCCTTTTTTGTTTAAAATGCAGGGAAAATATCTAAGATGGGGGGGTGGTTTGCTGGATTGAAGTGAATGTAAACAACTGATGGAATGGACAAAATGTCTTCTCAAAAGCCTTTTAGCAATTTTAAAATACCACTAGCAATGTTAAGAGTTCTTAGGTATGTAATCTGACCAATTTTTGACAATATGATATTTAACATGGGCTTATAGACTATTATCGGTGCTCAAGGGGAAATTAATGCATTCACTAAAAGGTAACCAAAAGTGAAGCCAGAAATAATAGAAAAAAAAAGTGAAACCGCAAGCAAAAAGCACGAATAATTAAAACCAATAACTAACCCTCTGAAAAGACTGAAAAAGCTTACAAGCTTATGGGAAATCCAAGAAAAGCAAGCAATATGTCAGCAATGAAAAAAGGAGATCTAACAGGATTCAGAACAAATAAAATTCTTTTACAAACTGTATGCTAACAAGTGAAATGCAACGCTTTTGTAAGAAAATGTCATAAAAATTGACTCTCAAGAAATGATAGCAAAGCAGACTAACCTAATAACAAGAATTTCTTAAAAAATACCAAGTAACAGAAAGGCACCAAACCAACAGTTTTATTACTTTTAAAAAAGATGTATTCATCTGTCAGAGAAAGACAGAGAGTGCGCACGCACACAAGCAGGGGGAGAGGCAGGCAGAGGGAGAAGCAGGCTCCCCGCTGAACAAGGAGCCAGATGCAAGACTCAATCCCAGGACCCTGGGATCATGACCTGAGCTGAAGGCAGATGCTTAACCGACTGAGCCACCCAGGTGTCCCTAAACTGACAGTTTTAAATGTGAGGTTATTAAACCTTCTAGGAGCAATTAAGACAAGGTTTCCCAAATCATTGTATGAGATTTAAAAATTTTGATTTTAAAACCTGACAAAGAGGGTGAATCTACTCCAAGTGTCATTGAAATAGCAAATATATGACAATTACTGGGGACCAACAGTTGTCAATGGCCTGATGGACTATAAACTTATGGAAAATACAGTCCTTTTCTGGGTTCCTACTGGTATATAATACAACCTTCCATAGACTTTTTTTTTTTTTTTTTTACAAATGTCTAAATTACAAGAGGTTACTAAAATTGAGTATTCATAAAGTAAAATTAGTGTTCTATTAGAAGTTACTAAGACATCAAATCTGTTATTTTACCATGGTCTAACTATAATGCTATGTCATAATGCTACTGTGCAATGGGACAGTTAAACCCTCTTTTAAAATTAACAGATGACCAAATATTAGAATTTTTTAAATTTACTTCCCCCCCCCAAATATTAGAATTTTAAAAAGGAATCACAAAAACCAAATGGCTCCATGTGGAACCTAGCAACTATAAATTAAGTAATGAAAGATAACTCTTAAAAAATTAATGATAAAAATCACATTCTAGAACCTACAAAATCCATAAAACAGCAATAATGTGTTAAGACAAAGGGTCCCTTAAGAATAAGGAAATAATTAGAAATTTACAAAGTTTGTAAGAAAAAATTAAAAATTTGATACTGCAATAGGCATCTTGAAAGATTATACAGAGAAATTCTCTCAGAAAGTGACATGAGATCAACATGGTAGGAGTACTAGCTATACAATAGGGTTTCCAAGAGTATTTAGAATACTTAAGTTAAAAGGAACCAAAGGAATTTTCCTGAAGCAAGAAAAAATTATCAGATTTTAAAAAGGGCCTAACCAAGTGCTATGAAAGAATACTGAAAAGAAACAGAACTAAGTAGATCCTGGTGAAATTTGTAAACTCCTAGAGCAAAGAGAAAATGAAGTTACCTACAAAGGAACAAGAACCAGTTTAACATCATGGTTACCTAAAATATGTAACATTAGGGCGCCTGGGTGGCTCAGATGGTTAAGCGTCTGCCTTCAGCTCAGGTCATGATCCCAGGGTCCTGGGATCGAGTCCCGCATCGGGCTCTCTGCTCCTTGGGAGCCTGCTTCTCCCTCTGCCTCTCTCTCTCTCTCTGTCTCTCATGAATAAATTAAAAAAAAAAAAAAAGCATATTTAAAAAAATAAAATAAAATAAAATATGTAACATTAGAAGACAATGGAGAAATGTCCACAAAATTCTGAAAGGAAAAGAAGTATGACACTTTAAAAATTACCCGAAGATGTACTCCAACAAAACTGAAACATGAATCAGAAAAGGAAAGTCAAAGAGTTACTAAAAAAGGACAATGAAAATGATGAGAAAGGGGTGATGTGAAGGCAGGTTGAAGATCTTATGTTGTCCAGTCTGGCAGAAGACAGAGTAAGAAATTTTTGAAGTTTAGATGTCAATAAAATGTAAGAGTAACCATTACCAAAAAAGGAGTAAAAAAGCTAGTGTAAGATTCAGAATATGAAAAAAATTAAGACACAAGACTCTAGGAAAAAGAAAAACAAACATATTGGTGATCACAAAAAAATACACCAACATAGAAAATTCTTCAAGATAAAAAGGCACAATACTTTAATAAATCATTCTGCTGAAAACGACTAAAGCTGGATTAAACACCTAAAATATCTTTTAAAATGTGAAGAGTAGACAAAGTAAATTATAGTTAAAGGTCCAAAATAAGTCAAAACGTGAACTCACAGCCTCCGGCTTTTGTCTTAAAAGCACAGGGACACACCTTCATTGAATAGGAATTCCAGTAAGAACGGAGTCCATTTATGTTACAGATGGCAGTAACACTAATCACATGTGATGGAACCTGCTGGAAAGTTGCTGCTTTCCAACCCATGACCAGGTCACTCCTGATAAAGGATGGGTCTTCAAGAGTCAGCCCAACTAGAGAGCAGACCATAGTCATTTTGGCACTGGAGGACACCTCAATCAAGGTATGACCACTGTTCATATTTTTATAGACTCCCAGATGGTAGCTAACTGGGTAGCCTCAGTGGGTTGTTGGTCGATGGGCTCAAAAGTTACCACATTCAGTATCATGCCCTATCAGGCTTTCTACATTGGGAACATACTGCTGCTCAGACTTCACGTATTACAATTAAAGTCTGATGTCTCAACTCATACCAAGGTTGCCACACAGGAACCTCATTTTTATGCCCTAGCTGACTAACTTGTTCACACTTCTCAAATAAGCTCAGATAGTACTCCCTGCCCTCAGCTCAACAGGTCCCATGAGACTTCCAGTGATCTCAGTCTCCAGACCCTTAAAATTTGGGCTCAGTGCCATAGCATCCAATGCTACTGGCCCTGGCCCAAACGCTAGCCTACCAATGTGATCTTTGCACCCTGTCCTGCCATTGGTATCATGGTCAATGGGAATCCATACAAAGGGGTGAATACTCCTTCTCTGACTGGCAAATTCATTTTATTAAGCCACTGCCCCAATCTGCTGGTGCAAGTTACTATTCCCTCACAAAGATTCAATGTTACACAAGCCTGCTCTTGGTTTATCCCTCCTGCCATGCTACTGCCAACACTTAATACAGGCCTCACTAAATGTTAGTTTCCTTTTAGCTTCCAAATAACTCTGACCTGATGTGGGTACACATTTTATTCATTCAGTCTGGGCACAGGCAATAAAAACAAGGCATCACCTGGAACTTCTGATTTGTCTTATCCTCTGCAAACAGCAGACCTAACACAAAAACATAATAGCCTACTTAAGGGCATGCTCTTAAATTTAAAAAAATGGACAATGTTCTCCTAAATGGGTCTTTTACCCACTTTATCTTAGTTATCCTGAACTCTCAACCTTTTAAGTCATATGACATCCTAACAAAATGCAACGAGGACCTCCCTATTCCTTTTCTAGCCATAAAAGGAACTTTCCATGTATGAATCTATAATAACCAAACAGAATCCCTTCTCACTTAAAGACACTGCCCCTTTTTTGATCTTGGTGCAACCTATGCTAGATTGGTGCCTGTATTTAAAGTGGGTAACAGAATGGGATCCACTGAAAATTGAGGGCCTCTGCCCTTTCAGACTATTCTGTATGCCACAAAAAAGGTCTTTGCTAAAGTCTTTTCCCAATATAATAGTTTTAAAGGTTCACTAACTGGAGGTCCCTCTTTGTAAATGGAGGTCTCGGTGCCTGCCTGTTCCCACACCTACAATTTTATGGTTCTTCTAAAAAGTAAAGGAAGATCTTAAATTAGTTCCCAGTACTAACATTCTTAAGTAGGGATGCTAGCTCTGGATCCACCTTATACCACTACAGGACCTGGGATAACAATGCCTGTGACTTCCATAATAAACCGACACCTCCAACATGCCAAGACCTACAGATCTCAACAGGTCTGAAAATATTATGGAACATTCTGGTTCTGGTTGGCCTAGCAATGCTAGATTTGGCTCATGGCCTGCGTCTGGGAATCTACCATTCCGACTCAATGCCAAACTACTTGGGCTCCTTTATCCCCATGCTGTGACCTCAACTGTTTGGGGATATTCAATCAGTCCATAGTTCCCAGTAAGAAATTACTCTGTAACTCCTAGAGACAAAGGAATACTCAAAATCACTTCTGTAATTATTTCTCAAATGTATAAAACCTTCCATCAAAGTTTTGGGGTTAGGCCAGGACTCCCATCAACCCACTATCCTAGATGATGACTTCAGCACAATTGATAATCCCAGCCTCAGTGGTGACAGCCCCAAATGTTAACTGCCCCTGTAATGGGTGGCCATAACACTCGTCACAATTCCAATGGCCCTATCAGCTGACTTTCCTTAATCTGACAGTCTCACATTTCACTATCCATTATTCCACTATCACTGCACCAAGATTTCCCATCTTCCTCAACTTGAAAGACAGTATTTATATAATGGTAACAGAGAAGGTCACCTGAGCACTAAAACTCTAGCAATGCTAACAGATGCCCAAGCCCAGGCAATGTTATACAAATAACTCTTGTCCCCTGGGAGGTTTTCAATATTCATATTGACTATCTGCCATCCTCTCTGGTTAAATAACCACCACCATGGCGTTGGCATCAGCTAGTCTAGGAACATAAACGAGAGAAGGAAAGGCAGTTGGGGAAATTAGAAAGGGATACAGTTGGGTATAAAAGTGGCGTAGAAGAGTCAGAGATTGAATTTGGGAAGAGTCAGAATCTTTATTTGGTTGGTTTTATCATAGAACTGTTGCAGCAGGACAGCACAACCTCAACAGAGCTTCCTTACTGACTTCATGCCCTTCCTAGCCTTCCCCACCAATCCGGAGTCTAGACAATGATGTCCCTCTTGTTGGGACTATTCTGCCCTCGCATGTCTGCTCTGATATAATTTGGCCACTAGAAACTCCACCCTCCAGGCACCTTGGGCTACTGGATCTCCTATGACACAACTCCTATTCAGCAAGGTCATACACTCTATTCCACCAACTGCTCCCTTCTAATCCATACACCCTGACCTGTGTCTTAGGGGTATTTAGTATCCAGGTACCCTAGATCAAACCAGAATGTCCAGCTTGTTCATCAAGTCTTGCCACAAAAGGGAGCACTGGGCCATCTTTTTATCTTTTATATTGGGCTGCATCACCGTCTTTGGTGTAATGGGCACAAGAATTAGGTGTTTTTAATTCTGTGACATAGATGCTTCTTCTAGAGGCTACCCACACGATGGCACAACTCCTGGCCAACCACATAAACCAAACAGCTCAAGCCTTAGAAGCCCTTAATGAGGGAAAAAGAAGTCTAGTTGCTGTAACTGGTAAAAAGATTGGGGCTGCCTGGGCGGCTCAGTTGGTTGAGCGTCCGACTCTTGGTTTCAGCTCAGGTCACAATCTTGGGGTCGTGGGATCAAGCCTTGCATTGGGCTCCACACCGAGTGCAGAGTCTTCTTGAGATTCTTTCCCCCTTCTCTCCCCACTCCACCGCCCGCTTGTGCACGTGTGTGCACTTTCTCTCTCTAAAATAAATAAAAAAATAAAATCTTAAAACAGATTGGTATTAAACTGTTATTTTAAGGTGGCGTTTGTGCCTTAAAGGGGACTTCCTGCTGCATGTGGGTCAATAATACAGATAAGGTATCCAGAATAGTTCAAATAAAACAAACAAAAAAAATAAACAGCCAACTACACTAAAAAATGTGCCAAGAGATTCTCAGGCCCCCATTAATTTTTTTTCCTGGCTGTCTCCTTCTGGCTACAGTGAAAGGCTCTACACTATCATTTATGGAGCTACAATAATAATTGTTGGCCTAATTATTTTGAGTTGGCTTTGCAAATTTGGTCCCTCTCAAGTACAAGTTATTTATAGTAAACCAGGAAGGTTACTATGCTAATTCCAACAGCAAGGATGAATTAAGACTCTAGAGAAGGAATTTTGACCTCCACTATGTTTGCTTTAGTGCTCTAAGTCTCATTTCTGGCTTCCTGTGTCATTCTGAGGGATCACCTGCTCCCTGCCTCCACCCCATAAGCACACATGTCCTCTTGCTGCCTCCTTTAAACTTCCCCTTGATGACTGTGCACTTGCTTTTCTCTCTGTTTTGGGACTTTCTCCCAGAGAGAGCCATCCTTCTTCCCTGCATCTTAACTTGGGACTTCTCCACCTGTGTAACAAATCTTCAATCGTACCAAAGACTGCTGTCATGAGTTCTGCCATATGAACCTAAACTTGGGAGGGTGTCTCTCCATGTCAAGATGGAGTTGCTATAGTATAAGGGAATACTTCCTCAACCTGATAAAGAGGAACAAAACCTTCTGCTAACCTCAAATTTAGTGGTGAAATACTGAATGCTTTCCCCTGAGTTCGGGAACAAAGTGAAGAGGCCCATTCTCACCACTTCTATTTGGCATTGTATTGGAAATCTTTGCCAATGCAGTAAGCCTTAAAAAGCAAAATGATTATTAAAAGAAGAACTATTTGTAGATGAGAAGACTATACAGAATATCTTAAGAAATTAACAAAGCAATTATGAACTACTAAGTGAATTTAGCAAGGTCACAGGATATAAACTTAAAATATAAAAACCCGAATCTGCTTCAGCAAGGGGATAAGTACCTAAATTGTAGTAGCCAAAACTACTCCCTCCAGATACTCCAAAGTATTAAAAAAACATGTGTTACTGGTACAAGGAGGTTTTATTTCTACACTTCCCACTACATTCCTTTAGTTTTAAGGAGAATTCTAGAAACTGACGTATCTCACTGTCCTGAATATGTATGGCACTCAATAAATGACAATTAATAAAAATGAAGTTTTAACAACAGCAATACGCAGAGTATTGCTAACATAAAATTGCAAGGCATTTTTACAAATAATTACAAAGTACCCACAGCTTCCCAAACTGCATTTTCTACAGCGAGAAACAATTTTCTATATTACAGTTTGTGGATCTGACATTCAGTGCTAACAATGGAAACCATGCTGACTGAATTTTCCAGACCAAGATTGGGACTAACCATTGAATAAAGACATGCTTATCACACTTGCAATGTTAAGTACAGCACAATGTACAATATTACGTATCACAAATGATTTATAATATACTGCTTATAGAAGGTATATTTGGCATTCAAAGAAATGGATATTTGAAACTGAATTCTGACCTTTATTTCATCACCAACTAGAAAGATACATAATAACACAGAGGACAAAGGTGGACAGTAAAACACTATAAAGATATAAAATATACAGAGAATGCTGCCCGGTTATTCCAGCTTGGTATAGCCAACTATCAATACCACTTACCTAGGAGGAAGAGTGATGGGCCATAGTATTCTGCATTACTGATGATGTGCTTCAGGGAGGTAGGGAGAGAACCATCCATCACTAAGAGAAAAGAAAAGTGAACATCAAGGAGAATATGATCAGTCCAGAAGTAGTTTGATGGGTAGAGATGATGGAGCAATATATTATATATACCACCACTGTGGTAAACAAAATCCTGTATTGATTCCACTCTAATGGTTTCTACTTCACTCCTCCTCATATTCTATTATTTATTCTTTGTCCATGAAATAGCCTCTTAACAGTGGGTCAAAGAACAAAAGAATACAGACACAGACAAAGTGGAGTAGCAGGCTGGAAGTGAGCACAGAGTCAAAAGCTGAAAAAGGAAAAAAATGGGTGAATCATTATGAAAATAGCTAGAGAATCCTTAGGTCAAGGAAAAGTGACACTAAATGACTAAAAGCTATTCAAAATGGCATGCCTTTTCTTAAGCCTGTCTTACTACAAGAGTAGCATCAGTATCAAAAGAACTAATCTTTGGAGAGAGTCAAACATCCTTCAAGAAAGAATTTAAAATCAAATACCATGTCGTATGCCATCTGAGAAAGCAGGGTCTTGAATGGCCTTCTTGAGGAAATTCAACATGGATTTGAGAAGTGCTGCTCTTTGTGGAATACACTGGACTCCTGGCAAGGGAGAAAGATGGAGGATTATACTGAGTTCACCATTAAGACCACAATGGGCAGGCACATAAAACAATTTTTTAAGAGATGCATATACACTATATCAACACTAGCAGACATTCGAAGTGAAGATCTCTGGATATTGGGAAGCTTTGAAAACTGGGAAAATAAATCACCAAGAACTACACAAAACTAATACTAAAATGAAAAGACTGAAGTAAAAGTGCAAGTAAGAAGATTAACTCTCTGATCCTCAATTCCTGTTTTAGATATTATCTGATCTCTGACATGGCTGCTTTGATAAAATAACGTGTGAACAGTTGGAAAACTATGAAATAAATGTTAATATGAGAAAATGGACACCAGAATGGCAAAGTAACATGTACAGTCCTAAGAAGCAAACCTCCAAGTGTACCACTGAAGCTGCTCCCAAAGTACCTTCTTGACTAGTTTAGTAATTCAGTGTGAAAGACTGGGTATCTACTTGTCTACCCACCAGGACGGGGGCCAGGGCCAGAGCCAGAGGAGAGGCTAGTGCTGCTACTAGAACTTGATGCCCTTAATTCAACATCTAGCCGGTGCTCCATAGAGATGGATGAGCCTGGACTAGTTTCCATAGTCACATCTGCAACTAAAGTAAAAGTTATGATAAAGAAACTAGTTAGAATAAAAGCACCACCAAAAGAACGATTGAGAAATTTTTTTCCCATTAAGGCGAGATAAATGATATAAAAATGGTGACAGATTATGATACTGAGACCCAAAATAAAAATGTAAGCTTTCCACAAACAAATAGAAAGGTATTTAACAGCACCAGTTATTTAAGACATGCAAGTTAAAAACATTCCTTCAAAAGAAATCCCCTTCAATATTTCTCAGCCACCAATGTGGGAGGAAAAATAGTGGTAAGTAAAACATGCAATTTCACACACTACTGGTGGGTAGCAGACTGTAGGTAGAGCTTTTTCTAATTTTAATGAAGTACAAGATAATTACTTCTTACAATTTGTAAAATATAATTAAGCTCCAATAGTAATAAACCATTGTTTATATTTTGAAATACTTTCTTCCAATCTTTTTATACATATACAAACATACATACTTGTGCCTACTTATATACAGGAAGCACAAACTCATAGTTTTGTAACCATTTTATTGAATATAAAATTTTCTCTACAAATACATCAGAATCACCTAGACTGGCTGTTAAAAATGTGGATTTCCTGGGGTGCCTGGGTGGCTCAGTTGTTTAGGCATCTGACTCTTGTTTTCAGCTCAGGTCATGATCTCAGGGTTGTAGGATCATGCCCCAAGTAGGGCTCTGCACTCAGCAGGGAGCCTGTTTGAGATTCTCTCTCTCCCTCTGCCGTCCCCACCCCCTGCTTGTACATGCTCTCTCTAAATAAATAAAATCTTTATTTTATTAAGATTTTTTTATTTATTTATTTGAGAGAGAGAGTGAGAGAGCGAGAGAGCACAAGAGGGAGGAGCGGGAGAGGGAGAAGCAGACTCCCTGCTGAGCAGGGAGCCCGATGCGGGACTCTATCCCTGGACTCCAGGATCATGACCTGAGCCGAAGGCAGTCGCTTAACCAACTGAGCCACCCAGGCGCCCTAAATAAAATCTTTAAAAAATTTTTTAAAAACATGGATTTTCCTGGTCTTCACTTGCACACTTACTGAATCAAACATTGCAGATGGGGTCTACAACTTTTTAAAAATTTTATTTATTTTGAGAGAGAGAGCATGAGTGCACAAGCGGGGAGAGGGGGAGAGGGAGAGAATCGCAAGCAGACTCCACAATGAGTGCAGAATCTGATGTGGGGGGTTCAATCTCACGATCCTGAGATCATGACCTGAGCTGAAATTAAGAGCTGGATGCTTAACCAACTGAGCCACCCAGGCACCCCTGAGATCTACATCTTTAGCAAGCACTTTAATTTATTCTTATGCATATTCAAGCTTGACAATACCTGATTTATAATAAACAGGCTTTTAAATAGTCTTCTATTTAGATGTCACATTTTAATCAACACTCTGGGATCTCACCCATTAACTCAAATGCCAGCTTGCCCACAATAAACCAGAGATAGAAATTGGGTAAAGGAGTTCCTAGGGACAGCAATGCATGTAAATAACTGTGTTCAGGAAAAACAATAGAGAAAAAGGAACAGCTTCCTATGGGTATTGAGTATCAAGAATGAAAGCATTATAAATTTTAATACCTTTATCATAAGCATGAAAACAGATTCATGTAATGACATCCTGGGTCACCAAAGTAAGAATTTAAATTCTAAGAAAGCTGTTTTGGGGATTTTTTTTTTTCTTTATTACTATTATCATGAACTATGCATGGGGGGGCAGGGAGATTAAAAAAAAAAAGAACACACATGATGATGCACCCAAAGATTAAGAATATCTGGTTGCCTAGCTTTTTGACTTCATGATTTAAAACATGTTGCCTATTCAACAACTTCGTCACCTCTCCTCTTCCTCTCAAAGTAGTCTGATAGTTTCATAAGGTCCCTAATGAGTCTACATTCTCCTTATCTTTCCCAAACACATATTTACACACCTACAATATATCAGGCACTGTTGAAGAAAGAACAGTGAATAAAACAGTACCCTGATCTCATGGAGCTTACATTTTAGTGGGAATAAGAAGATAATGAACCAATACTTAGAAAACAGCTATTAAGTCTTGAAATAAAACAGATTAACATCCCACAGTGACTGGGGGGGGCTCTACTGCAGCCCTACTATCTGCTTCACCTTCCATCACTATTCCCAACAACTTGTGCCTCCTCCTTTTATAGTTATCCTCATGAAAAACAATACACAAATCATTTACATAGAAAAACACTGTTCTGGGGGCGCCTGGGTGGCTCAGTCGTTAAGCGTCTGCCTTCGGCTCAGGTCATGATCCCAGGGTCCTGGGATCGAGCCCCACATCGGGCTCCCTGCTCTGCGGGAAGCCTACTTCTCCCTCTCCCACTCCCCCTGCTTGTGTTCCCTCTCTCGCTCTCTCTCTCTGTCAAATAAATAAAATCTTTAAAAAAAAAAAAAAGAAAAGAAAAATACTGTTCTGTTGCTGAAAATACACACTCAAGTCACTTGTGCACTTTGGAATTTATGAGGAGGAAGAATGAAAATTCTTACTGAAAATGAAAATTCTGACTTAGTAACTGTTAATTACCATCCATATCAGTTTCCATTTCTTCTCCTTCTTGTGTAGTACTGGGTCTCTGGATCTTTGGCTTGATCACAAATGGACATTCTTTTCGACACAAATCTACTTCATGCTACAATCAAGGGAAAAGTAGTAAGAAAATCCTACATATATACCAGGAGTTAAAAATAATTATAATGAAAGAATGTCACAGGCAGATTATAAAACTGGTTTCTAAAAACAGAAAAGGGCTAAGATGGTTCTTTAGGGTTATTAGGATACTAGGATTCCTAGGCTCAGGTCTTACTGGGTATGTCTACGCAAAGTGCTCCTTGTATAATAATACCTCAAGTCTATAAATGAAGATAGAAAGTCCACTATGGGATTGAAAAGCTGCCATGTCCAGGTTGGTGATGAGGTCAACCACTCTGACAGCTCTGGTGACAAATGTTATCTGGTCCTGTTCATCACCAAGAAACTTTATGACCTATAGAGGAGAGAAAAAAAGGCAAAGCCAATCAAATGAAAAGACACAAAACTGTGAATAATTCTTTTGGAAACATGCAGTCTAGATCTCAGGGAGGCAAGTACAGTGTGGGAGAAAAGAAACAGGTGTTTGTCAAATGATAGCTCTATTACTTCTGGGACTCAACCTCCTGAGATAATGGGGACATAAAATTACTTTTCAGGATTAAATGAAATATTCAGGGAGAAAAAAGCCAAGCACACAGTAAAGCCAATTACCTTAATAGCACAATTTACAAAGTACCTTTACATATTTTTTCTTTAGGGTAACAGCCTAAGGTCGTAATAAGATATGGCTAGTCTTGACTAGTAACTGGAGCCTCCTGACTCTCAGACCATGTTAGACTGATCAATTCTTATTAATGGAGATAGCCTCACTTAAAAATTGTTAATGAGACAGATAACTAGAATGCCAAACTAGAAAAATTAAGAATAACATTTTCTGGGTAAACTTTCTTATGCTATCTGCTCTCACTATTAACCATTCCAAACCTATAACTCTACACCCTGCTCTTAGTTGATTTCCCCACAAATGTATTTTAAAAAAAAAGTAGAGCACCTTCAATAAGGCTTCCATCATTCCACAGGAGACCAAGGCTTCACCACCAGCATCGTAGCTGGCCAGATGGTATAAAAAAGAGAAGAGAGCAGTGGCAAACTGGTGAGGGTACGGATCCATGGAAGGATCTATATGGGAGGTTGGGAGAGACAGAAAAAAAGCAAGCTCAGAATTTAATGTTAAGATGGAAAGATGTTAAACAAAGACTGACAAAAGCAAGGGTGAAGTTCTTGCTACCTAAAGTAACAATCATCAAAACTTACCAATCATGGCCTGGATACAGTTCCGCACAAGTACCGGCAAAAATCCATGGTAAGAGGCAGTTCCAGTACAGTCAATAATACTGCTGAGTTTGGGAGTTCTCTCCAAGTGGACAATTGATGTTAATGTTCGTAAAGAAGCAGCTTTAATCTCCTATGAAAATGGAAGGTAAACATGATGTATTAAATAAGTAGTAGATGACTGGGGCACCTGGGTGGCTCAGTCAGTTTAAGTGTCCAAATCTTGATTTCAGCTCAGGTCATGATCTCAGGGTCATGAGACTGAGCCCCGTGCTTAGTATAGAGTCTGCTTGAGATCCTCTCCCTCTGCACCTCCCCCTCACTCTAATAAATAAAATAAATCTAAAAAAAAAAAAAAAGGTAGATGATTGAACCAAGTTGCTAATACCCAGAACTCAAAATTAAAGTCATTCTACTGATAATGGTTTGGGGTAGATGGAGGTCTGTTGAGACTAACACTGAAAATCCAGCACTTAACTCTGCAGCTAAATATCCGAAGAGGAAGAGTAAAAGAGCTAAGCTTCCCTCTTGGGGTTCATTCTAAACCCCTGGGAAAAACCAAAAGGAAAATAAATACACATGAGCCTGACATACACAGGAGAATGTTAATACTTACCATAAGCTGCTTATCTGTTATCTGAAGGACATCTACCAACTCCTCTATCAACCCATTATACAAGATACTGTTTGCTGACTCCTGCAAGGCATTGGAATACACTGCAAAAGGAGAAATAAACACTTTAGGCAAGAAGGCAGTGGTCAAGCCACTGCCTAATGACAAACCTTTTGGCATCTACTGGTTCTGGGAAAAGATTCCCTTCCAACCAGCATTGGAGGGCAGAATCACTGAATTCTAGAGGATTGATCAAATATGGTGGTAAGCCCTAAATATTCTCCAAACTACAGACTCTCCTATTAGTACTGGTTGTCATGAGCAAGGATTTTTGGGAATGGAAGTGTGAAGAGTTAATTTTTTATAATATCACAACTTGATATAGTAACTATTATGCCTTGGATATAGACTTCCATTTTCGTCTCTTCATGTGCTGCTTCTGTTTTTCACTGGAAACACTTATACAGGCTGTAAAGAACAGAATTTGGACTACTGCAGACTAAGTCAGAAACATATGACACTGTGGAGTAAAAGTTGAGAATGAGTGTAATCCACTTTCAGTGTATCCCACACAGAGGTAATAGTAGACATAGTCTCCTGAAGTACAAACTAAGGGATTTGAGCATATTCATTTAGTTTAACAAACATGTATCCATTAACGCCCCAGAAGTTATGCTAGGTGTGAGTACAAAAAGAAGAGTTATGAATTTCACTTCAAGGAACTCAGTTTAAAAGAGGAGACAAACAAGTAATAACGTAACTAAAGCTGGTAATATTAACAGCAGCTACCATTTTATACCTTCTATGTGCCTAGCTTGTGCTAGGAGCTTTACCGGTTTTCATTTAACCCCTGTATCAGCCTATAAGGTTAAGTGCTATCCCAATATTAAATGAAGAAACAGGCCAAAAGCATAAACATGTAGCTAATCATCTGCAGAATCCGGATGAGAGCCCAGGACTGATTCCAAAACCAGTGTCCTTTCTATTACCCTAAAGTAAAATGCACAGTATTGACTTAATGAATACCTTGAAAATTAACTTTGAAATTATACTACTGACGGGACAGAAGAGGAAGATGAAATGGCAAGAGGAAGAACAGGGGCCAGGAGAGAGGACTACCTGAACATCCATCTAAAAGAAAAAGGGCCAAAATCAAGACTAAACCCAAGTGATAGGTCTGTAAGTATTACACTGTTTTCTAATACAACATTAAGGAGCTCAAGAATGATGAATACAGTGAACATTAGAAATGCAGGCATAATTTTACAATTTAACTTTCCACCTAGATAACTACAATAAGCCTCACAGCAACAAAGACACAGATGAAGCTCAAAGGAAATCATGTCTAAATTGCCTAATCAGGGCCTGTTAATTGTAGTGTTATTCTCTTACCTAATATAGATATTGCATGCAGCCTGGCTTGAACAGCTTGCAATCGTTTCCTGTGATTAGAAAAGCCATGGGCCAGCCGTATGTGTGTAAATAACAGCATCTGTAGGAATATAAGACCTAAATTAGGAAACCAATGAAAACGGTGAATGTACTTTCTGAGGGCTAAATCTTACCTATTGGGATATTTGGTAAAATGGTTTACTGTTGCTATTTGTTAAGGTGTCAAACAGAACAGTTCTACTCTGTGGTTACCTGACAAAATGAGAGCCACAAAACACAGGCTCAGAGAATCCCAATATCCCAACATAAGCCAAGAACTATCACTATACTGATAGGCAACAAGCTGAAGACATTTGGCACAAGTTCTGATTGTTATTAATTAAATCAAATATTTTATCACCATAACAATGAAAAAAACCCCACAGAACTAAATGTTTTCTCCTTTCGTCTGTAAAGTGTTGAGATACTAACACCAGATTTGCATGAGTAAAGCAGCTTATGTCTTCCTCAATCTCTCCTGAGAACCTACCTAGGAATTTAGTAGGTGTTGGTCTCATAAAACATGAGGAAACGAAGGTTCACAGAGGCTAATTTACCCATGATCTGACTCCTTTCCTTCTGATATGCTGTCTCCCAGCCCAGCAAGTATCATTAATCTACATGAGTAACAACCACACCCTTTAGATAAATAATGAGGACCTATCATACCTGCTTATCCTTAGGAATGCTGTACATTTTGGTAAGAGATTCCATGATTTCAGAAGGGCTTTCTGAAATCTACATTAGAAAAAAATTGGTTAGGAACAAAAAGTAAACTGAATGTTAGGAAACTAGCCAACAGTCAAATATTCCTCTTACCTTGTCAAGTTGCTCTATGTGAATATAATGTAGTGTGTTACTACTTGTCTGAAATTAAAAAGACAGAGTTGTTAGAAGTCAGTTAATACCTTAGCTTCCCTTTCCATAAGACTAAAAGAGAGCTGTCTGAAAACCAAGATGTCACCCTAGGTTGAAGCCTAACTGAATGCTCTTAAAATCAAGGTAACTTTAGAGTCCCCCAAAATACCCATTTTATATATAGAATATTTTCAAGAAAGCTTCTTTGAAGACAATAGTATCAAAATATAATGCACATAGTCAGACACATTTAATATTCTTCCTTATCCTTTTTAAAAAAGTTTTGTTATTTTTAACTGAGTATAATTAATATACACTGTTATATTTGTTTCAAGTGTACAGTATAATGATTCAGCACTTCCACACATTACTCAGTGCTCATCACGGTAAGTGTACTTTTAATCCCCTTTATTTCACCCACCCCTCTACCCACCTCCACTCCAGCAACCACCAGTTTGTTCTCTGTATTTGTCTACTGTTTTGTCTCTTTTCTCTTCCTTATCCCTTTTTAAACCTAACTTAATTCCCACAGCCTCTGTATTCATAGCAAAGACCAAATTCATGAAAATGGTTTCCACTCTAGATATGTACTACAGCTGTTTTCAAGGAGCCATAATCTAGAAAGATTATTTATTATGCTATAGGTAGGGAAAAAATTAGTGCTACTTATAAACAAAACTGAATTTTATTGTCTCCTCAAAGAATATGGAATGACTAGATAACTGAAGCAGGACCCTGTAAGCAATATATAGATTTCTTACAAACTGGCTAATAGAGAAAATTGAGTGATCACTATCCAGACTATTAAACTGAATGTTGGAATTCTCAACTGAGACGGAGAAAAACACACAAGTCATGGCAATGCCTCATAGGGGAGTCCTATCTTTCAGCAGCTCCAATATAAGATCCAAACCTATGAAGAGTTATTCCTGAGAAGCTGCTAGGTATATTTAACTTGGGAGGGCAGCATGCAGCTCAAAACCATCCTCTCATTTATAACTGAGGAGTCCTAGAAGTCCATCACAGACTCTATCAGAACAAGTCTGAATGAGACTCACCCTTTTCTCGATTTTGACCTCGGCCCCAGGGTCTGCATAGAATTCAAAGTGTAGTGTAGTTGCACTGGGTGGGTATTTCTGTGTATAAAGCACATGAAATAATCAGATACCATCTTCTCCCCAAATCTTCCTTCAAAGTCCTAACCATTTGTCCAACTCATTGTAGCAGCAGAATGAGCAGTGTAGTCAGCAGCTATAGTGCCTTCACCCCTCGTCTTAGCAGAGCTCAGATGTCCTATAATAACACAAAATCAGGAGGATGGAGCCCAGAGCTCCAAAAGCCTTCACATTTCTTACTTATAAGTTATCAGTTGCTCTTTCTTTCAAGAGATCAATTCTGACTGTAGCTATTTTCAAGAAGAAAAAGAGAGGCAAGTCTGCCAAGCAATAATGAATAAGAATCCAAGAAAGGATGGAGAACAAATACAAGGTTCTAGGTACCAACTTGGGAATAGAAAAGAACATTGTTATGGAAACTTTAGTGTACACCATCACCTTTTGAAATATTTTATTCAAACTATGCTTCATTAGTGTACCTTCTTAATTCTTCAAATACTCCCTTTCATACCATTCTACACCACTTCCCATGGTATCAAAATGCTTTTCTGCACAGGTAAATACCAAGTCAATATGAACCAGACCCTGACAACGAATCCTCTTTAACTCTAGAGAAGCAAAGACAAAATTAAGACGACAACAGCATGCCCATTAGAATGAATCCTTAAAAGAAACCAGTAGCATAGCATGGTTGCTTCTGAGAATGGAGAATTACTGAATATAATAAAGTTATTAATTATATTTACATAACACATTAATTTTAAAAATTGATTATTGTATACAATAATTTTGAAATTGCATGCATATGTATTTCTAAAAACATGTATGTATTACTTCCTTTTAAAGTACACATCGTATGTTTCAAAGTCTCACTGATATACCAAATATCAATAAATAAAAGGATGTGCGATTTCTTAACACAGACTGGGCCCAAGACAGACATCATACAAACTTAGTAGAGTGTATCATACTGTTTTGACAAGGGGTAAAGAACAGCTTGATATACAAAAGGAGGCTCAGAATTAACCAACTTTTTTTTTTTAATTTTTTTAAAGATTTTATTTATTTTTTAGAGAGCGAGCGAGAGAGAAACAGCATGAGAAGGGAGAGGGTCAGAGGGAGAAGCAGACTCCCCGCTGAGCCGGGAGCCCGATGTGGGACTTGATCCCAGGACCCCGGGATCATGACCTGAGCCGAAGGCAGACGCTTAACCATCTGAGCCACCCAGGCGCCCCCAAGAATTAACCAACTTTAAGACGAAAGTCATTTTCTCATAATTAGAATTCCAAACTGAATACTCTTTAAGATTTATGTAGCTTTATTAAAGAGACAATACTTACCTCCCGTATTACCCAATATTCATTCATATAACACACACTAAAGAACGTATACCAACTAAGGTGGGAAAGTAATTTGTTTTAATTTGTAGTTTTCTTTGACCAGAAAAAGAACCATTCTCCCAGGGAAAAAAGGCTTGCTAAGATAAATTCACTAAATTTCATCGCAGCGATTTGTCCTATACACGACAAACTGACAAAAAGAGCAACATCTGCTGGAAAATATGTTGCTTCTTGGCACAGCTGTTTTTAACAAATCCAACTGTACCTTGTAGTTCCAAAACAACATATCAAAGCAGAAGGGAGGATGGCTTAACCTTCTAACCTAAGCATGGATGAAAGGTATGAACAGGACAGGGCATGAGGAGTAAACATGGAAAACACACAGAACATTTTAAGTTCTCAATAACCTTCATGGCAGGACTGTTCCCCAAGCATCCATTCTTAAAAAACACACCATACTGCCCAGAATTCCAATAGTTTCAGTGAGAGAATGCAAGCAAATACCCTTTCTGGGATTTTTCAACACTTTCAAACGGATTCACCAAATACAGCTTCCTACTCAAGAGCTGGGTATGAACATATACTGTGTTTCTGAGATTGTTCCTACTGTCAGCACACTGAGGACCTAAGCATTTCTAGACAAGATGTGCTATGTCTCAATTGATCTCAGGTTCCTCAAAGGTCCTGATGTGAAGTGGCAACTTAATATACCATATATTCATTGTAAAGTAAGGCTCAAAAAGAGACCACACATAGCTCTGCCAAAAGATACCCATATCCCAGAGTTACTTACCATCATATGCAAGTCTCTGCAACATTCTGCAAGTCCAAAGCCATTCTCCTTTCCACCCCAGCTCTAAAAAAGGAAAAAGGCAGTGTTAGTGCTTAAAGTAGCCCTGTGTATAAAATATTTAAGAGTATGTGGCTGCTTGGAATACGGTGTTGGCATTGAGAAGACATCCACTGTGAAAGTCCAACAAAGACAGGGAGCAAAAAGAGAAGCAAGGACTTAAGACTCAAGATCTGCCTAAAGGTGATTTCTCCAATGAGATCAATTTCACTGTTCTGTGAGGATGCTACTGGGAAGAACATAAGCAACTATAAGCAATTATACATGCCTTCAGTCATACCTGCTGACAGGTCAGTCTTATCCCATCAAGCCTTCAGTACTATATTATGCTTTCCATGCTCTCAGCCTGTTCACCTTCCTCACTACAGTGAGGAATCACACGCTCTACAGTTTCTTTTTGACATGAACCAAGTTGCAAAGCAGAAGACTCTATATTGCCTACTCCTACTATACTCTGCCACCACAAAGTCTAAAAACTCATCAAGTACTAGCCCCTAAGGTAATGGGGGAAAATGACTAAATTGTGCACTATTACTGGCCTCCAAATCCAAACCTCCAGCCATATATTCTTACTTAATAAACTCACTTGCATTTTTTTTTTTAAAGGTTTTATTTATTTATTTGACAGAGAGAGACAGCGAGAGAGGGAACATAAGCAGGGGGAGTGGGAGAGAGAGAAGCAGGCTTCCCGCTGAACAGGGAGCCCGATGTGGGGCTCGATCCCAGGACCCTGAGATCATAACCTGAGCTGAAGGCAGTCGCTTAACCAACTGAGCCACCCAGGCGCCCAACTCACTTGCATTTTCAACAGTGTTTGAGATATCATTTTTGCCTGATTCGAAATGCTCCCAAGGGTGGGGTGAACATTTGTTGAAAACATTAAAAAGCAAATGCATTAATCCCTGCTTCCTGGGACAAGGGCTAAACAACAGACAAACTGGAAAGTATGGGGGGGAAATGGCTGGGGAGTGAGATGCTTTGGAGAATAAGGGCTTGGAAAAGTTCCACAGACTCCTGGGAATCTAGAAGGCCACATGTACGCCCAAGGTTAAACACAGCTCTCTTTTAGTCTTATGGAAAGGGAAGCTAAGGTATTAACAGTGACTTCTAACAACTCTGTCTTTTTAATTTCAGACAAGTAGTAACACACTACATTGTATTCACATAGAGCAACTTGACAAGGTAAGAGGAATATTTGACCCGAGAAGGCCCCAAGTTCTACACGCCTGGGTGATCATCAGGCTCTGTGCAAGTCACAAGTGAAGGCTAAGGCATAGTTATAAACATCCTGGTTGAGTAGTGAAGATAGGAGTATTGCCACCGAACATACACACAAAACCTACCTGCAAAGACTGGGGGGGGGGGGGAGTATGTATTTTCTTGTTTAGGAGTTTAAGGGAAATCACTAGCCAACCCCTAAGCTAAGAGCATTAATGATCACATAATTATGAAATCAGTTCAGAAAAGTCTAAAGAAACAACAACTGGGCGCCTGGGTGGCTCAGTTGGTTAAGCGACTGCCTTCGGCTCAGGTCATGATCCCGGGGTCCTGGGATCGAGTCCCACCTCGGGCTTCCCTTGCTCTTTGGGGAGCCTGCTTCTCCTTCTCCCTCTGCCTGCCACTCTCCCTGCTTGTGCTCTCTGTCAAATAAAATCTTTAAAAGGTACAAACTTAAAAAAAAGTAAAATAAAGAAACAACAACAAACCATAACAACAAACCCTGGGGAAGAGTGAGAATTTGATTTCCAGAGTTGCCACATTATATTAAAAATGTCCATTATTCAAGGAAAAAACTATGAGGTATACAAAGAAACAAGACACTATGAAACACACAAAGGAAAAAAAAATTACAGCAACATGAGCATGAGCAGTGATGTTAGCATGATGGCCAAATAAGACCTATCTCACTGCCCCTATGCAACAATTTGGCATCCATCCATGGACAAAAGTGCCTTTGTTGGAGTTGGGGAACCTAGCCCCATAAGCCAAAGGATTGGGGGGGGTTGTCTCACCCACCTGCGTATTGGGTAATAGACCTGCATACTGGTCTCAGCTACAGACCCTGCAGTGGCCTATGAACCAGCTACAGCCACTCTGAGGAGCCCCAGGAGAACATGGTCTTAAAGAATCACCCATGGGCAAAGCTACCATCTGTGGGATTATGAATGAACACCTCTAAGTCAGAATCCCGCCCAGGCAGAACGACATAGCAGTGCCATGGGGCCTCAGATGGCCTCAGATAGCCGGTCCCCTACCGCCCCTGCCGTGTGTCGGGACCAGGGTCTGGTGCTCAGAGCCCCTTGTCCCGGGAAACAGGGTGCGGCCGGAAAGGGGGCCGCCCCCTCGCCTGTCACGCAATGCACGTTCGTGGGGAACCTGGTGCTAAACCATTTGTAGACGATCTGCTTCTGGGTCAGGGTTTTGTACATAGCAGAGCAGCACCCTCACTGTGATCTATTGAAAGTCAGCCCTCGACACAAGGGTTTGTAAAAACAAACAAAAAAAGGAATCACCCATGGATGATAAAGTTTAAAGGACAAAAATATTAAAAATGGTAAGAGCTAAAATAATTTGTTAATGAATATACAATTTAAAAAGAGGTAAACTGAATATTAAAAACATAAAATGAGGTTGGGGGGAGTAAAAGGGTAGAGTGGGTGTGATCAAAGTTTTATCAGCTTAAAAAAGACTTAGCTACAAGATGTTTTATGTAGGCTCCTGGTAACCACAAAGCAAAAACGTATATTAGATACAAAAAAGATAAACAGAAAGGAATAAAAGCATACTACTATGGAAAACCATCAATTCACAAAGGAAGGCAGGGAGAGAGGAAGAAAGGACAAGGAAAATACAAAACTGCCATAAAACAGTAAGATGGCATTACTAAGTCCTCGCCTATCAATAATTACTCTAAATGTAGATGTATTGATTTTCCAATTAAAAGGCATGGAGTGGCTGGATGGATTAGAAAAACAAGACCCAATCAAGAAATGGGCAGAAGACATGAACAGACATTTCTCCAAGAACATCCAAATGGCCAAAAGACACATGAAAAAGTGCTCAACATCACTTGGCACCAGGGAAATCCAAATCAAAACCACAATGAAATACCACCTCACACCAGTCAGAATGGCTAAAATTAACACATCAGGAAATGATGTTGGCGAGGATGTGGAGAAAGGGGAACCCTCCTATACTGTTGGTGGGAATGCAAACTGGTGCAGCCACTCTGGAAAACAGTATGGAGGTTCCTCCAAAAGTTGAAAATAGAGCTACCCTATGACCCAGCAACTGCACTACTGGGTATTTACCCCAAAGATACAAATGTAGTGATCCGAAAGGGCACCTGCACCCCAATGTATAGCAGCAATGCCCATAATAGCCAAACTATGGAAAAAGCCCAGATGTCCATCGACAGATGAATGGATAAAGAAGATGTGGTATATAAATATATATATATACAATGGAATATTATGCAGCCATCAAAAAATGAAATATTGCCATTTGCAACAACATGGATGGAACTGGGGGTATTATGCTAAGTGAAATAAGTCAATCAGAGAAAGACAATTATTATATGATCTCACTGATATGTGGAATTTAAGAAACAAGGCAGAGGATCATAGGGGAAGGAAGGAAAAAATGAAACAAGACAAAACCAGAGAAGGAGACAAACCATAAGAGACTCTTAATCATAGGAAACAAACTGAGGGTTGCTAGAGGAGAGTGGGGTGTAGGGATGGGGTAACTGGGTGATGGGACATTGGGGAGGGTATGTGTTGTAATTACACTGGGTATAAGACTGATGAATTACAGACCTGTACCCCAGAAACAAATAATACATTATATGTTAATTAATTGAATTTAAATAAAATTTAAACAAACAAGACCCAGCAGCTTACATGGACTCACTTCAACTTTAAAGACACATGTAGACTCAAAGTGAAGGGATGGAAAAAGATATTCTATGCAACAGAAATGAAAGGAGAGCATGGGCAGCTATACTTGTATCAGACAAAATACACTCTTACTCAAAACGTGTAACAAGAGACAAAGGTCATTATATAATGATAAAGGGGTTAATTCAAACAGCATATAACAATTGTAAACTATATGCACACAATACTGGAGCACCTAAATACATTAAAAGCAAATACTAACAGATCTGAAGGGAGAAACAGATAACAATACATAATGATAGGGGATGTCACCACCCTACTTTCAACAATGGATAGATTGTCCTGACAGAATCTAAGGAAATTCTGAATTTAAACTATACGTTTTTTTAAAGTTTTTAAATTCCAGTTAATATACAGTGTGATATTAGTTTCAGTGTACAATACAGTGATTCAACACTTCCATTCAACACCTGGTGCTCATCACAAGTGTACTCCTTAATCCCCATCAACCTATTTAACCCATCCCCCTATTACCTCCCCCCTGGTGACATCAGTTTGTTCTCTATAGATAAGAGTGTGTTTCTTGGTTTGCCTATCTTTTCCCTTTATTTGTTTTGTTTCTTAAATTCCACATATAAGTGAAATCATATGGTATTTGTCTTTCTCTGACTTATTTTGCTTAGCATAATACTTTCTAGCTCCATCCATATTGTTGCAGATGGCAACCTACCAGGAATATACAGAACATTTCACTGAACAGTAGAATACACACTCTTCTCAAATGTACATAAAACATTCTCCCACATAGATTACATAGTAAGTTACAAAACAAGTCTTAGCAAAGTTAAGAGACTGAAATTATACCAAGTATCTTTCCTGACCACAATGGTATAAAACTAGAAATCAGTAATAGGAGGAAAACTGGAAAATTCACAATATGTGGAAACTAAACAATACATTCCTGAAGAACCAATGAATCAAAAAAAGAAATCAAAAGGGAAATTTAAAAATATCAGGACAAAAAACAATGGAAACACAACGTATCAAAACTTATGGAATGCACCAAAAGTAGTTCTGAGAAGTTTACAGGGATAAATGACTACGGTA